GTAAATAAGTTCTCCTTATGATTGGATTTACCTCTGAGCGCACATCGAGATACATTGCAATATTCCCATCGAACATTTGGGTCAGTGGTATAACACCAGGGTCCATTCGGCGCACTGCTGTCCGGGTTACGACACATGTTCGAGTCATATTTTGAAATAGCAACATCTCTAGGAATCCGCCAGTGACGATGAGGACACTGGGATTTCCAAGGCTGACATGGACGGCCAGACTGAGTTATGTTTACGTTGCCACGATAACCAACTCCCACACCATAGTAACAATCTGAGAAAAACTTATTTTGATTATGAAACGCTTTGAAAGTTAAGAAGTGAATTAAGTACTTGTAATGAGACTGGCATCAATTCATGGACTGACACTGAATAGGGTGACGAGAACGTTGAACAAAATTTCTGTTACTTTTTTGTCATCGCTTAGTGTCTAACTTGACATATGTGAGATATCTAGTTTTATTAGTTAATCATAATAGTTTTGTACAAAGTACTATGGACTGACGCACTATTGTAAAATTACATTTCAGGGCCCGGTTGTTCAAAAGAGAGTGAAGTCTAAACCTAGGGTTAAGTCGGCCTAACCCTGGGTTAAATTTTAAGCGGAGGTTAGTTGTGTTGTTCAACGGAAGGTTAACACTAACCTCGGGTTAAACGATGGGTTAAATTTAACCCACCGTGCGAGCAGGATTAAATTGTTAAACTCCGGTTAAATCAGGAATAGAGATGACGGACTTGTTGTTTTGCGATTTACGCAGAAGGCGACGACGACCCGCTTTCATCGAGAGTCTGTTTTATTTATTACCAATGTTGTTGCGGGTGGTATCAGTCGCAACACTCGACGGAATCACTTACCGCCGCTCCATCAAGTTTTAATTGCCCTCAGGTTTCGCCTGCGACAGCAAGTTTCGCCACTTCTCGCAAACTTCGGCTGCTGTTCGCATTGCCACACCAACAGCGTTTACAGCATGGGCGATTTTTTTCCACATTAATTTTATTTTGATTGGTGACACTGTTGGTAAACTTGCGTTGTATCAGCGAAAGGTTTTCTTCGACTTTTCCGTCAAAACGGAGATTTCTGAAGCGCTAAATTTTTTTTTCGAGCTTTGCGTGAGATAACTGAGGAAGCCATTTTGGATAGCTCGCAACTTGCTCACCATGGCAACATTGTACGAATAGTTTATTATGGGATACTAACCGCGGGTTAAACGCGCTTAACCCGGCCGAGGTTAGCTAACCTGTCCTCTAACCGCGCTTCAAACAACGCAATTTTAACAGCGAGTTAACAAACTCACGGTTAGGAAATTTAACCTCCGGTTAGGCCTAAACAGAGGTTAGTTTAACCTGTCTTTTGAACGACTGGGCCCAGAACATTTAGAACAGACCTGTACTCTCAGTGTCATCACCTATGGGAAATGGAGAAAAATGAGAGCAACAGAAGTTAGAAAAGCGAACTAAAAGTATAAAATAAACCAAACTATTACAGTTATTTCCTGGCGTCTGATTGTGTATATGGCTGTTAGTGTGTGCACGCAAGTCAAATAGCTCCTATGCTGCCAAAGTGTTCCTACTTTTCGTAAAATTAACTACTGCTACTAGCAATGGATGGGATACTAATCCATCGCGGGTAATCCGGGCCCCTCTTCTCTCTGAATTATGGCAAATTTCCGTAACAAGTCGCCGGTATCAACTTATACACCTGTGAAGGGAGAGGCACCACAAGGAGCAATATATCTTGCCTCTGGCAAACAGCACGATGACCCGGGTTAAACCAAAGCGTTCAATAACTCTCAAAAGGACATGACCAGATAATGAAGGTAAGTTTTCAAAACTGATAACGGATTTGATGATGGCCGTCCTATACCTACCAGGGAGATCGTACCATTGATAGCACTCAGGAGCGTCACCACCATTAGCAGAATCAAAAATCGGGATCGAACAATCTAAGATGTCCATGTAGACTTTAAGGGACGATACATCTCTGATTTTTACCATTTCTTTTTCACAAGCGACTTGGACCAAATAATCGCACGAGCTACTACAAATGCGACGTTTTGTGGGCATCCCCAATGATTCATCACACGAAGGGAAATAATAGTGACAAATCAAGTCTTTAACCACGAGCATGCACTTCGGTGAGGGTTTTATAAATTTGAGAAAATCATAGGTGCTCTCCGTTTCTATTTCACCAAATTTCAATATGGACTGATCACCATAAACATACAAACTTGTGGTTATGTTGTCGCAAAGGTCACCTTTATACTCGTAGAATACACAGGAAGCATTTCTCGTAGAAGCGTTTACTGGAGGAAATGCTCCCACGCAGCTAAAGATATGTATAAAAATATACACGTATATATATGAATGAAGATGGCAAAATGACAGAGTATGATCAATAAACTGATAAACAAAATTTCAAAAAGGTGGTAAATAACTTCATATTTTCAATCAGCCTGTATGTAAAAATCTCAAGCGCACCAACCTTGAATTAGAATCCACTTGAGTAAAGTTACTCTCTGTTTATCGAACCAAAAAAAAAAGAAAAAAAAAACAGAAGAGATCAATTGTTTCTGCAGGAAAGGATACAATGTCAGAAAACATCGAAAGCACATAGCTCAGATATCTACTTGTTTAGTACTAGAACAAAACAAAACAATAAACAAACGTTGAGAGCTTCTCATTTCAGAGGAACTTGCAATCAGGATAGAGCTATGCGAGACTAAAGGAAATGCAATATTTGTACTCACCGCAACAAGCCATCATAGTGTTCAAAATTGTAAGAATGGTAAGTGCAAAGACACGAGCCCTTTCCATACTGCAATTTAATATGGTTTCATGAACTGAGTTAATAATGTACATTGGCTACTGTTCAGGGTTTTTTAATAAGGCTGATGTTTCGAACGAAATCCCTTCCGTCTATTCCGTGGCGAAAAGATTTCCGAGGGCGAAATAACAAACGAGGCGGCATCATTAGAAAATCTTTACGGTAGCCTGGTGGTGAATACGCTAAGTCAGTAATATAATTGAACAAACACAAAGCTCAAGACTGAAAAAGAGATTATCTAATACTATTTTATGTAGTTCCAAGCACAGAGTATACAGAGCAGTAAATTATGCGGTTCTAGCTGGGGGTCTCGATGGAGTATTGGCTTTTGCGGCTAACGGTTAAAATTTTGGCCATTCTACGACTAACGGTTTGATTTCATTGTTGTGATCAGAAAGGTTACGGTCAATTTTTTTTATGATTATCGTTTAAAATTTGTCACTTTTCACGCTCAACGGTTAGATTTTTCCGGCCCTTTTACGGCTATCGGTTCACCCCATGGAGACTCTCCTCTAAGCATATAGTGTCTGCATGTTTAACCATACAACAAAGCGGTAAGCAACTCCGATAAACTAAGAACATCAACTTCCTTATGAAATATAATCGCGCTGAAACTTCTGATAATTGACCCTGAGGTCTTTGAATTGTAATAACAATACCTAGACTCACCTTAATCTCAAAACTTCTGTTCACCGGACAATTTTATTGCTCAAAAACCAAATACATCTTACACTAAGCCGCAGAACAATATTGTTATTCGAAAAAGCTAAACCGGTAAACAGTAATTAGTCCATACCCGTCAAAGCTGAAGAAACTGAAGCCTTAAAGATAGCACCCCTCTCGTTTCGCACGCGATTTAGGGAATTTAGTGATCATGTTTGTTTATGTTTTAGGAACGAAAAAATGATAGAGGTCATAATTTTACCTGCTGACGAGGCTTTTGTTTTCCTTCCTTGGCCAACAACGATCTCTCGTGAGGTCTTTGAGTTGTAACTACAATACATGGATAACAATTCTTACTCTCACAACAATTGTTCGCCAGAGAATTGACTTCAATATTAATGACATTCATCACTAAAAAAAGAAATACATCAAACATTTAGCCGCAAATCAATATTGATACCCAAAATTGCGGAACAACTGAACGGGAGGCAGCAGTCCATACCCGTCAAAGCTGAAGAATATAAGCCAGTAATGATAACACCTCCTCTCTCTTCGCACGCGTGAATTTGATGAGCAAGACTCACCTAGCTAGGTTACTTGTAAGCAGAGGTATTTATTGCTAACGTCACCAGTCACCTTGGACCCATAACAATACGGTCGTCTCACGAATTTGAGTAAGTAGTTAAATAAAGGCAAGAATCAACAATCAGCGCTCTGGACTTTGTCAGGAATTACAAATTTGATTTTACTATGCTCGGGCGACTGCGTTACGTTTTCATAAACGGAGACAAAGTACGGTATAAGTGTAGTACCTCCAAACACCATGTGGTTTAAAATTTGTGATCATAAGCTGCGGGTGCATTTCCCGCTAAAGAAGAAGAAACGTTGGAATTTAGTGCATGAGTGGTTGTGTCACTTCCATCTTAGACGCAAAAGAATTCAGCGATTTTGCGTTCAGGCTTACACGGAAATAAAGTTAAAACAACATATGAATGCTGCATGCTGACTTCCGGCTCCAGCGAATGAAGAAGCTAGACATTATTGCTTCCTATAAAGTCAATTAAAAAATTATAAGGGACGCTGACTTGGCTGTTTTCCATCGCTTTTGAGTGCGTGTGTCACGCCAAAGACAGGTATGAATGAATGTGTCATTTGTCTTGTGACAAGCTCAGCAGACTAGAGAGGATTAGTTTTCGTAATTTCCGCCTCGTTAGTTTGTGTTATGTTTTGTCGCTAAAGCATGTCGGGGCAGGAAGTCAATGTTATTCGCTTGGTTTGTCTTTCGCCACAGTCTTCTTAGCTCAAGCTTTCATGCTGAACTGAAATCATGGTAACTTTTCAAAGAGCGAAACCAAATAGGAAAACTCCATGTTAGTGGGAAGACAGTAGTGAGTCAGAAGGTATTTCAATTCGTGAGTGATTTTCATACAAGCATATGAGCAAGGTTACTCGAATACTTTGTTGCATACGACAAATTAATTTGCTTTAAAAATTTTATCGAGCATTGCTCCCACTTTAGAAGGCCGTCAAATCCAAAGTATCTGGAAAAGCCTCGTACAATTTGACGATATACATTTGCATTTTTTTTTATTCACAACGACGTGCTTGACCTGGTTTAAATGAAACGTCATGTCACGGTGGGCGAGGTATGAAACAGGATCCAGCGCTTAGGGTATTGTCAATCCCGTTTAAGAAAATACTACATCTAGAAGAGAGTTGGCAGGCAGTAAACCCTTAACATAGTGAATAATCTTGTGTAGTGCCATCAATCTCGTTAATGGAGTCAGGAATGGCCCTGAAGAACAGCTTTGTTTGCCCAACTGAGTGGAACTCATCTGAAGCGGTGGCTATATTTAATGCATATTTCTGTTCCAACGACAAAACAAATATCTGCCACGATAGGAGACTAACTGATCTCATACAACAAGAAAGCGAGTCTCAAATTGAATATATATAAGAAGGCAAACCAAGTAGCTTGTTAATGGTTAAATTTGATCTTCAGAAAATTGGCATTTTACGTGCTGCGAACATTATGTAAAGCGACATCTGTACATCATTTATAATTTCTGCACTATATCTTAAACACAATTGTGCCAATAGGGATCGAGGGTCGTCAATAAGATAATTTTTTGATTTATAAAGATATCGATGTTCTGGGAAAGAAGAGCATCTAGCTATACCTATATTCTGGAGAGGAAACGTAGGAGTCGCTAGAAACATCTTTATGGAGACTCTTTCAACTTAATAATCGTGTTACGGCGGGCGACTCTCAATAGGTTCAAGAGGTGTCGTAGCCTGTCTTGATTTCGACAATTTGAAGGACTGCCTTACGGGCTCACGATTAAGCTCTCAGATGTAGAATAAACCTCTTTATTCCCTAGACATCAAGGTTGTTTAACCGTTAAAAGCCGTAAACTGAAGTTCGATTAACATAAAATATAAGCTAGAAACTAAAAGGTAGGCAACAGTTCAGAGAAAACACGTGCCAGTTTTCCGCGAGTAGCTTTAACGCTGAAACTCATTAGAATATCGGTTGTGAAACACCTAAACGAGAAACGATGGCCTAGTAGCGAGGCTCTTGCAACAGAAGGCTACGTTAACGACTAACTGTACTTAAGGGAAAAAAGGTAATGCAAACTTAAGGATACTCACTCTTGTTTCGTAATATCGCTTTGTGAGCTTTGGCTAAGACGAACAATTATCTACAATAAAATAAAAACAAGGACTAGATACTTAAACTCGATTGAAAACTAAAAGCTAAAGAAGAAGTTTCTTAACTTAAATATCGGTCCTGCGCTTGCCTCTTGTTGCTTGTTTTCTTGGATTCTTTATCTTATTTTTCTTGTGTTCGATATGAACGAGCGGAAACTACTTCTCGAGGTTAAAAGAATACGTGCTTTAAGAGCGGAAAATCAAACAAATGAGCTAATTGTTTCTTTGTCTAGACGGAAGCATACGCTGTTAACCCTAAGCTACAATAGACCGCTTGGCGGTCGTTACAAATCGAATTCAAGTAATTCAAGATTACAAATGACGATTTGGTATTATGTAATGGTTCGACTCTAATTCAAAGAAATTCGTGTATTGCGAGTTTACTGATCATCTAATTACTGATACGACTAATAGCTATCTTTAATTTTGCCTAGAAATTTTAAAATGATTATCCCTTTCGTGCAAAAGCTGTTGACTGTACGTTAGACCAATTGATTTTGCTATTTATCCTTACACCTTTATATTAGATTGAAGTTCTTTCACTGGTAACCAGTTTTACAGTATAGAAAATGACTGAAGTCCAGGCCATTGTTGTTTTTACCTTCTTGAGCATCATCTCAGCTCCTTGCGGTTGGTAGAAATTTTTTTTTTTTACATTTTTGACTTAGATGCTCTACTCACAGCAGAACGCTAATTCATGATAATATTACCTTACTCTGGAAGGAGGAAGATAATGATAAAAACACAGAATCCTTATCAGCTAAGGATCCTTGGGACTTTCACAAATTAACAAATGTTATTAAACACCACAGCGTACACTATACGTGTGATGCATGATCCTCGCAGTAGAGAGCGCTATTTATGCAATAGCGAAAATCAGACCTGAAAAAAATCAGGCCTGTATGGGATTCGAACCACTGACCTCTGCGATACTAGTGCAGCGCTCTACCAATTGAGCTAACAAGCCAACTGGGAGCAGGCCGTTAAGTTGATTCGTAATAAACCCGTGATGATAAATCAGATACAATGTATAACTCTTTAGCTACAATGTAGCAATGTTATGTTATAAAACAATTGGTAAGCACCACAGCATACACTATTGAGTTATGGATGCCCGCGGGAGGTTGCTAAGCACGAAAGAAGCGTAAGAGTCGCTCGAGGCCATAGCCGAGAGCGACTCTAGCCTCTTGAGTGCTTAGCAAACCTCCCAAGTGCATCCATAACTCAATAGTGTACGCTGTGGTGTTTACCACTTGTTTTATAACATAACATTGCTACATTGTAGCTAAAGAGTTCCCTTTTATTTAACAAATCTTACGTGACCAGAAAAAACAAGCGCGCACGGAAAAATAGTCTTTGCATTTGCTCACGTCAGCAGCGTACACACATGGGAAAATGGGGGACGCTAAATTGACCAATCAGAGGGCGTGCTTTGCTTTGGTTATGTTTTAAAAAAAATGTGTCATAAGTAAAATTGACTTTTATCAACATCCTGCTTTACGGTCTCCTCGGGCTTGGCTGCTTTTTTACGAGTTCATCAGTGTAATAAGAGAGCATTATGCAACACCTGTTAAAAAGAGGCAGGCATTTGACACTTTGCTGATAGCACGGTTTACCATACATTTCAGTTAGTTTAAGCATTGACATGAAGGCGAGTGATAAAGGAAGAAAGTTTTTCAACGTTGATTTTTCTCGAACAGATTTTTCTGACACGGGAACTTTTCGAGCCAACTATGGTAAAGTAAATTACACAGAGGCAGAAAAAGCATGCAGATCAAAAGACCACAGAAGTCATCTTGCAAAAATTAAAACTATCGAAGACCTTCAGATAGCTAAAAATATATCATACACTACAAAGGGCTTCAAGTATTGGACGGGTCTCAGCGTCTGGTGAGTAGAATTTACCATGGTGTACTACTACAACCTTGTCCAGTTCTTAATCACAATTGTACTTGCGGCGGTTTGTTAATAGCAGGAATAACCTTTCAATTTTCTGTATTTCTTCTCTTCTTTTGTTAGCGCTACTAAATCGGTTTTGGATAGGTTTGTTACAGGAATGGTAATTGGAAATGGAGTGATGGAAAGACGGCGGGTGAACAACTTATCGATATTGTGAAAAATTATAATAACACAGAAGCTCTGTCTAAGGAACCTAAAATATTTTGTTGTATGGCAACCCATGATCCTCTCCTGGTGTGTACCAACTGTAGCCAGGAACACGCCTTTCTGTGTGAAGACTTTCGAGGTGAGATTCTCGACGGAATTTTATTATAATTGCGATTAGAGCTACCATTATTTTCATAATCATTTTCGCTACTCTCTTTTACCGATAAACAGTAAATAACGTTTCTCAAGTGGACTCTAATGCAAGGTTAGCAAGCTCAACATTCCCCTGACGTGCTACAGTCTTGTGTACAATTTTCTTTGATTTTGATCTATTTTTTATTTATTCATCTTCCAACATCTTATATTTTTTTTATTCGTAGACCTATACATTATTTCCCTTTAATTTTTTTTACATATCTTTAGCTGCATCCCAACATTTCCTCCAGTGAACGCTCCTGCAAGAAACGCTTCGTGTATATTCTTCGAGTATAAAAGCGAATTTTGTAAAAACATAACCAGAAGTCTATACGTCTATGGTGATCAGTCCACATTAAATACTGGACAAAGGGAAGCTGTGAACTTTAATGGTTTTTTCAATGTTCTTGACACGATCACGCCGGAGTGCAGGCTCCCATTTAAAGACTTGTTCTGTGGCTATAGTTTCCCACAGTGCGATGAATCATTGGCTCAGCCTAAAAAACGCCGCATTTGTCGCAGCTCATGCGAATATTTGCAGGTCGTTTGCAAAACAGAAGTGGCCTTAATCAGAGATATACCGGCCTTTCAACGCTACATGTACTTGACAGATTGCTCGAGCCCTGAGTTTGATTCCGCCAATGGTGGCGATGCTCCTGAGTGCCATCAATGGTACGATCTCCCTGGTAGGTGTAACACCGTCATCGTCACCTCCTCTTTTTCCACAGGTTATCTTTATTATCTGGTCATGTCGTTTTCAGAATTAAAGCGCTTTAAGAAGGTCATTTTGCTGTGTGCCTGGGGAAGACAGATTGCATCATGTGGTTCCTCTCCCCTCCCTCCTCTCCCCTCCCAGGTTTTAAATGGATACCGGCGATTTGCCAATGGAATTTGCCGAAATGCAGAGGGAGGAAGGGGAGAGGTTACCGCGATGGATTAGAATCCCATCTTCGGGGAAAAGCAATATTCAGCATATAATAAAAAAGTGGATACCGTTAGCGTTGGAAGCGCGCTCTGATTGGATACTCAAACTCCGAACATCCTTTGCTATCTAGTTCCGAGTAACTCGTGCGCGATTGGCACCCAAAATATTGAAACGTTGCAGAAATCAATTTGATGAGCTAAAATCAGCTTTTTGCGCTACATTATCCCACCGTTTTAGTATATACTAAATTTACCTCAGTGTGGGTGTTTAGCTGTGGATATATACTTCACTGCTTCGCAGCTCAGTAATTATCCACCACTGGCCGCCTCCACTTCGGTAAATAGTTGTTCATCTATCTCTCGAAAAGTAGGAACACTCCGGCAGCATTTGAGACGCCGGAACATAGCTGTAATATCTTAACCCTTTTTATATCGATCAGACAATTTTATATTTTTACCTCGCTTTTCTGACGTTATCTACTCTCACTTTCTCCGTTTCCATAGGTGATGACACTGAAAGTACAGGTATGTACATCAGTTCACGGTCTACCGCCACTCCTTTTACGCTCCAATTACGCTCCAAATCGTCCAGGTCCCTGTGTATGAACTGTTAAAGGGGCCTTGCGTCCTAATGAAGATAATCTAATTTCTGATGATCAGTATAATATTTAATTCCCATTTTGCACTCAGTTTCAATATGGTGGCCTCGTTTGAATAGCTGCTGTTTTTTCAGTTTTGAATTAGTAGTATACAGAACCTTAGTGAAAAAAACAAGCCTTCGAAGTTATAAATGACTGACCAATTTTATACATGGATAATATGCTGTGTTATTGACGTGAATGTGAACTTTAATGTTTTTTACTTAATTCTATAAATTCGGTTTCACTTTCGCTTCTATAGCGCGCTGAAGCGGACAAAAATACTTGTGCATGGATATTCAAGACTTGCTTTGTAAAATATACGACTTGTTGCGAAAATATAAAACTTGTTTTGTCAAATATACGACTTATTGCGGAAATATAAACTTGTTTTGTAAAATACACGACTTGTTGCGAAAATATAAGACTTGTTTTGTAAAATATAAGACTTGTTGCAGATAAGACTTGTTCGAGGTGAAAAATAATACTTTAAGGACGCCCACTGTCCGTTGTCAGCTGCTTTGCAGCAGGGCGCATACTGATTTCTATTGCGGTAGTTGTATTCTTGCAATGACGAGTGCGATGATAAGTTGAACAGAGTTACTCCTCAGTTTTTCAGCCGCTTCTTTATCTGCCACAAACAAGCTCGTCTAACGTCCTCGCAAATTTGTTTTCCAGGTTCTAACAGTCAAAGAAAAGCTCCTAACTCATCCGCCATATTTTTAGAGGCTTGAGGAGCGGTGGGCTGTGTTCCTCTTACCACTGAACACTCAAATCGCTGGCGCTGTTAAAGTATTATAATTATACAAAATCGTATATTTTTAAAATAAGTGTTATATTTTCGCAACAAATCGTATATTTCACAAAACAAGTTTATATTTCCGCAACAAGTTGTATATTTTACAAAATAAGTCATATTTTTGCAGCAAGTCGTATATTTTATAAAGCAAGTTTTATATTTTTGCAACAAATCGTATATTTTACAAAACAAGTCTATATTTCCGCAACAAGTCGTATATTTTACAAAACAAGTTTTATATTTTCGATTCGCAACAAGTCGTATATTTTTCAAAACAAGTCTATATTTCCGCAACAAGTCGTATATTTTACAAAACAAGTTTTATGTTTTCGATTCGCAGCAAATCGTATATTTTACAAAACAAGTCTATATTTCCGCAACAAGTCGTATATTTCACAAATTAAACAAGTTTTATATTTCCGATTCGCAACAAATCGTATATTTTACAAAACAAGTTTTATATTTTCAATTCGCAACAAGTCGTATATTTTACAAAACAAGTCTATATTTCCGCAACAAGTCGTATATTTTACAAAACAAGTTCTATATTTTCGATTCGCAACAAATCGTATATTTTAGAAAACAAGTCTATATTTCCGCAATAAGTCGTATATTTTAGAAAACAAGTTTTATATTTTCGATCCGCAACAAGTCGTATATTTTAAAAAACAAGTCTTATGTATCCATACACAAGTATTTTTGTCCGCTTCGGCGCGCCATACGCTTCTATGCTTTCGTTCATTTTCAGTGAAAGCGCCTAAATTTTGTTTTTTCAATGTGAAGCAGGTCCCAGCGCGTAAAGGGGCTTGTCTTTGGAACTGGTCCCATCGTGTAAATCGCGCAGCGGACAAGTCTCTAAACACTTTCCGGCTATAGTCCCTTCGTGTGTACCGACCTCTACTTTGACAGTGCTTTAACATCAAAATGCACTTTATGTCAGATTGTTACTATGGTGTGGGTGTTGGTTACCGTGGTAACATGAACGTCACGCGGTCAGGTCGTACATGTCAGTCGTGGAAATCTCACGGTCCTCATCGTCACTGGCGGATTCCTAGAGATGTTGCTGATTCCAAAAATGATTCCAACATGTGTCGTAACCCGGACAGCAGTGCCCCGGATGGGCCCTGGTGTTATACCACTGATACAAATGTTCGATGGGAATATTGCAATGTATCCCGATGTTCCTTTAGAGGTAAATTTGACCATAACGTGAACTTACTCGAGAGCCAAAATGCACGTGTGATAAAGGAACATTAAGAGTACAAATATGATGAAAGAATCATAAATTAAGTTTATTGAGGATGTAATTTACAGGCATTCTATTAAAATACCGACGAGGAACAATTTAGGAGACTAGTGTCTGTGGCATCATTTTTTTCGCTTTGTTTTATAGAAGATTACACAATATGATTCAAGGTCAGGCTCAGGGAAAACGCTGATCGAAAGCAGACCTAAACAGATTAATTAACTGGATTTCTTTGATCATAGTGTAATAACCAAGCAACTGAAAAATTCTTGTTCAGAGAACTAGAGCGTTTATTGATTGCCTTTATGTGGCATGACCTCAGTCTTCATAGAAACCGAACAAACTCACTCTTCTTTACCGTGGACCAAAATTTTTAAGATATAAAGACTGTTTTTACTTACGTTTTTGTTACCAGTTCCAGAAGAGGCCCCCACTTTCCTTAAAGGCCATCCTCTCAATTCAACTGCGATTTTAATCTCATGGGAGAACATACCTCCCTCGCGTCATAAAGAAAAACTGTTGGGTTATCGGATTCATTACCGGAGCCTCGGATCAGAGCTTTATGAAGAAGTAAACACAACGAGGAACGTGGCACCGTATTTTATAACAGATCTCCATCCGAACACAGCATACGAGATTAGGGTCAATGGGTTCAATGAAATTGGCCACGGGCCAGTTAGTACTGTCCTTGTCTTAAGAACTCTGTCCTGGGGTGAGTAGGGTATATCCTGCTTTCAAATAAACCGACAGATGACAGTTGAGAGCTTTGTTGATATCCAGGTGCCGATAACACGTTCTGAGTAGATGTTTTAATTATATAATGATGATTAAGGAGATTAAGTCGAATGCCATCGATAATGACGAGGAAAAACTCATGTTATATTTCTCTTTTCCGCATATTTGAAAGTCTCAACCATTTAACATTAAACTAGCCTTTCATTACTACTTGGGAATCTTCAACTAGTAAGACAAATTTTACTTCGTAATATGCTATTCCTTTTTATCCATCCTTTTTCCTTTTTCCTCTTGTTATCTCTTGTGTTCTTTGGTTGATTTTCAGGTGAAGAAATATTAGAGGTTGACTTCCAGCTGATAATCGACTCTGAGTTTAGTGAGGATCTACTCAACAGTAGCAGTGAAAGGTTCTTTGAAATGGCTGAACTCATAAGAATTGCAGTAAGTATCAATTGGTTTAGTAAAAAATTGATCAGTGTATGGCATAGAAGTACTTTCAAACTTTTTTTTATGTACTTTAAAAAAATTTTTCTTTTAGATAAAACAACACTTCAGTGAATCTACTTTGAAGATATATGATGTCATAACAATACATTTTAGGTATGACCTAAAAAATTTTTTTAGTCCTTGTTTAAAGCCTTCGTTGGCCATTTAAAACCAAAATTGATCTTTTTTCGGTTTCTAAACACCTTTACTTTCAAGTTTATAACATTTCATACGAAAATTACCTTTGTTTCCATTCGAACAAAATTTCATTTCCATATCAAAGGCCTTGTACTCACCCACTTTTCAAGACAGAGTACCTTGTAGATGGTTAATTAAATCGAGAAAAGCAGCTCTCGTGAAAAAAGAGAAAACCTTTTTATCGTTGATGAAATATTCTAAAGTTTATCTTTACCTTTTAAGAAAAGGAAGCCTAAGGGCACACATTAAAGTCCTTGCAACAGTAAATACGAACACAACCAACGAGGGTGATGCTCTTAACCAGTTGATAGGAGGGGTCGGTTCATCATTTGGAGATCGGCTTAAAGTCACTTCCATACTTGTTCAGGGTAAGTAAAGCTTTGTAAATGCTTTTAAGAACCACCCTACCCTCAGGTCATACATCCTCTTAAAAAATGAAAGACTTGACATAATGTGGGTAATGTACTTTTAAAGCTCCTGATTTTTATTTCTTTATTGCTGATACTTTCCTAATTCACTAGCAACACCGAGGCCTCCTAAGAGTTTCTCCGTTAATGATGCACAGACAACATACTTTATTTTGACATGGGAGGAGCCAGAGTATGGTAGCTTATACCAGATAAACAACTACACTATAGAGCAAAAGATATCAAGACTGAAGAACTTTACCGAAGTTTGGACAATTCTTTACCCTGAAAACAGAATGATTATAGAGAACCTAGATCCCTCCACAGAATACACCATCAGATTATCAAGTAACAATATATATGGAAGGTCAGAGGGTGTATTGTTAACACCAAAGACCTTGCCAGGTAATGATAACCCCTAGAGTGGGTTTCTCTCTAAATGAACAACATCAAGTTGATCTTTATATGTAAAGGTAACTTCCAAAACGAAATTATCAGAAAATTTACGAAGTTAGTTCAAAGGGAAAGGAATCGTCAACAATTATAACTAATATCAACCAATGCTATGACAAAGCGCGATTATAATGTTTGATACTTTTACTCGATAGTATTAAGTAACCTGGCTCTGATCATCTTTGTTCTTAATGTAAAAGTAATCTAAAAGGTTCAAACGTGAAAACAAAAGTATTCAGAGAACAAGCTGTCTGTTACTTCCAAAGGAAAGGTTGATGTTTCATATTATTTGCTTACGAAAACAATTTGCTTTTTTTCCCAACTTACAGACAGATTCATCAGAGATTTGATGTTGGTTATTATCTTGCCCTTGTTCATAGCTGCTGCATTTATATTGGCTGTTTGCTTAAAGTTTCAGCCAATATGTAAATCAAAACAGAAGAAAGAAGAGGTATTGTTTGCATTGCTTAATTAAGTCATCCAGTGGCCTAATGCTTTAAGGGTAATTCGCGTTTGCATTGATCTTGAAGATTGAGCTCTCTAAGGAAGTTGGAGACTGGGCCGAAATTCCTAGGTCAGATGTTACTCTCCAAGACAAGCTTGGGGAAGGTGCGTTTGGGGACGTTTACAAAGGCTTAGTGCGTATGGGTGGACAAGAGAGAGCATGCGCAGTAAAAAAACTTAAAGGTAAACATTTTTGATCGGACTTTTGATCGGCTGACTGGTTAGTTACTAAGTTAAGTGAATGATTGTTTAGATTATTGTTAGATGCGTTTCAAGTGTTTGATACAAATTTTTTTAAACCGATTCGCTATCCCTTGGATATCAGTTAAGCTTAGAATATTTCTTTATAGCGAATGCTACAGAAACAGAGAGACGGGACCTGATGAACGAGCTTGCAGTCATGGTCACAGTTGGTGAACATCCTTATGTCTTAAGTCTCATTGGAGCTTGTACCAAGACTGGTAACTTCCAGTTAATATTTATTCTTACTATGGCTGCGTCTCACAAGGACTGGGAACTACCGAATTCACGAATTTGATTGGCTGAAATCAATATCGAAAGCGGTCTAGATTTTCCCATCTAAACCGGCATCTAGACCGGTCTAGAAAAAAAAGTTACAAAGAATATAATGTTCCGTTGCTTTCTAAACACAGCCATATGATAAACATCCTATTAGCCGAGCCAGGGCGGTCTGTATGGGAGAATCTTGACCTCGGTCGCTGGTACAGACCTAACTGCGTTCGGTCTGAACTGGCGACCTCAGTCAAGACTCTCCCATACAGGCCTCCCGCTCGGTTAATAAGAACTAATTATTGTGATAATAATTGTTTATTATGTCCTACCTGCAGTTTCCTTTCCAGTTTGTCCTTCTATGTAGTAGTAAATTCTCAGTTGTGTAACACAAACAGTTTAAGTCTTAAACGCAATTTTTGTCTCACAACTATAAGATCTAAACATTTTTGCAAATTCCAGAGTCAGTACTGGTGATTGTTCGTTTAGCCACAAGTGGCTGTTTGTTGGATCAACTGAAGAGGAGCAGAGAAAATCCATATCAGAATGTTTCGAAAAAACAAATAAACTTCACGCCCCAGGACAAACTGGAGATTGCAAGGGATATAGCTCGTGGAATGCTACACCTCGCAAGCAAAAAGGTACGAGATACAGTAATAAATTGAGAGAAATATTTGCTTTCTAGAGAATTATTTAATTTTTATTTCGCTGATCTTTCTTAGTGTGTTCATCGTGACCTTGCAGCAAGAAACGTGCTTCTTGGCGAGAAGAATGTTGCCATGGTTTCCGACTTTGGCCTGTCACGTGAGGTGTACGAAAGTGGAGAATACGAAAGTACATCCGGGGTATGGCCAGTAGTATGTTGTTAAAAAAGAGAGAGTAGTTGAATAGCCAATAGTGTCTTCAACTGCAACTACAAATTAAAATGAACGGTTTTCGTACGTACTATTCCTCTTCACTATTATTCAAACGCAAGTGTTTTTTTTGAAACCTGGTTTTAAAAATTTTTCTTCCAAAAGGGAATGTTACCAGTTCGTTGGATGGCTCTGGAGTCTTTGGAGGATTATACGTACAACACGAAGACAGATGTGTAAGTTAAATTTATTGGAAAGTATGACGAATAGTTAAAATTGCCGTTAGCTAATGGGGTCCCAATAATCAATTTAGCTTTGAAGGTTTCATGGTCCCTGAAAGTTTTTAATTGAAGTTAACCAGCAAGTGCTTCCCTCGTCATAATAACGAAAAACTCTGCGAACGAGTCGGCTACTCTAAGCATATATACTTTTATAATGTTAAAATATAGCTGAGATACCATATCAAATACTTGGCTTCCTTATTAGATCGAGATGTATGAATATTGGTGAAGCTATGGTGATTTTGCAATTTAGAGTTAAAATTCCGTAAGAAATAAATGTTTGTTTTTTGTGTAACAGATGGTCCTTTGGAGTGTTATTATGGGAGATTGAATCTGGAGGTAAACTGTTTAAGCCTTGAGAAATTTAAGCCATCATCATCACGTTGGTCATCATGATTATCATTTTTGACTTACATGCTTTCTCAAACGTATCTTGGTTTTGCATTCGGTCCCACTCCTGACAATGGCTCGAAGTTAGTGCCAGATAAGGTTATTGGATAACATTAACCATGATATCATGAATAATCAGCACTGATGTCTGAGCTATCTGCCGAAGCCGAAGGCTGAGGCAGAAAACATAGACACAAGGTTTGATAATTCATGATATCATGCGAGTACCAAAGTCAAAAATTATTCATTTCTCAAATAATATGTTAGAGAATACACTTCTCTCCAGGTTTGTAAAAATTTGATAACACTGCACGGACGAGGGGCTTGAAAACTAGACATGATAACTCAAAATTTGCTGCAGATACTTGGTTATCCCCATATCAACTGTTCACGCTATTGTTTATTGACTGTATGCTCTCGACCTAGTACAGTTTTCATTGTAAGTCTACTGTGTTATAATTATCATTAGATGTGTTGCTGAGAAAGGCTGCCGTTTAAACCAGTAACTAAAACTGAATTCTCTGTCTTTTCTATCAAGGTAAAATGCCGTATTCTGGTCTTGGCGGAATGGAAATCATCGAGTTTCTGAAAGCAGGACAAATATTAGCAAAGCCGGCTGGATGCCCGGATGAAATGTAAATAATCATGAATGGAATAAGACACTGCTCTGTCACAATGCTTCAATTCTGAGGTGTGATTAAACTCAATTGTTTTCCCTTCACAGTTATGATATCATGAGGTCATGCTGGAGTTTGGATCCTAAAAAGCGTCCATCATTTTCTGAGTTACTGGAATCACTCGAGGAAGAAATAAAGACTAAAGGCGTAAGAATTTTAGTATCACCAAAACTAGTTTATGATCGTCTGTAGCTCCTTACATAAAAAATGGAATTTTCTCGGGAAAGAACAAAAGAAAATAGAAGAGCTCTTTGTTGACTTATATAGTCAATAGTGCTTGTTTCGCTAATTTATCTTGTTGGTACCTAAGATGTCTCAACTCTGTTGCAAGTTGAGCGACTCGACAATGGTACTTTAGTATGTGGAGTAAGTTACTACGATGCTCTACTGAAGTGTTGTTATTAGCGTTTTGTGCTTAGATGCAACTAAATGAAAGAAAAGAACTTTGTTTGTGTAACACAACTCAGCTAAATCACCGTTAAAAGTCAAAATTAAAGAAATAACATCATGATACTAGATGATGGAAATACTGAAAAAATTGATCCAACAGAAAATGAAATATTCAATAGAAATTTAGCTTTCATAATCCCTAGAGCTGAGTACCATTCACTAAGTCATAGTTAGTAAGGAAAAAAATGAGGAACATGCTGCTTACCTTTATCTGATGCATAGGCTATTACCGCTTGTTTTATTTTTTGTTACTTATAGGATTTCGTGGAGGATAAGGACTGTCTCGAACAGGAGTTCAAGGGACGTACAAATTTCTCATTAGACCAGAAAAATGACTTAGATGGAGAAACTGCCATGTAGCTTAAAGAGCTTTTGTATCATTTCAAATACCTTTACGCTAACACTTAAATTCATTTTGGTCATCTTTCATTGCGCACGTTAGCTTTTTCAGCGGAAAGCCGCTCCCGTTCGCATGAATTAACTTTTTCACGTTACGCGTTTGTATGTGATCCAAAGAAATCGTTGCAGTCCATCATTAGTAGCAGTAATTATTGCTGTCATACCCCGATATAGCTGCGTGAAACGGGCCATGTTTTTACAGTTCATGGAGCTCTTTATCAAGTGACGACATCATTTAACAAATGGTAAACATCACAGTATACTTTATTGAGTTTGGATACTAGCGACCCTAGTTTTCTGAGTGCTTAGCAATTCTCTCAAGTACATCCATAACCCAATAGTGTATGTTGTGGTGTTTACCATTTGTTTTAGAACAAAACATTGATACACCGAAGCAAAAGAGTTTGCTTTAGTTTGAGAAATCTTATGTGGCCAGAAAAATTAAGCGCGCGAAAACTATTCTTTGTATTTGCTCAAGGGAGCGTACACCCGTGGGCAAAGACAGAGCTGTTTAACGTTCAAGGTATGCGGTCAACAACGCGGGCTCAAGCGTACGAGGTTTAAGATTTAGCGAAATTTGCGAAAATAATAAGGAGCTGGCATTTAAAACCGAGGCATTTTGTTGTCGTCGAAGACATTTCCCTATCTCCAAAGCTTTTAAGAAGAAAATTAATTTCCGAAAATATTCAGGGGGTGTATAAAATTTTTGGAAGTCATTCTGCAAAAGAAAAGCGGTAAGGAAAACAACGTCTCGAAGCAACAGAATAGAAAATAAACCACGGAAACGACTCAAAATCCATGTTTCCGCGCCAAAACGTAGTGCGTGCGCATACGCTATTCAGCTCCGTCATGGGCAAATGAAGGACAATGATTTGACCAATGAGAGCGCGCGCCTTACTTTGATATAATTGATATTGTAATTGTTTATTCACATATTGCCGTCCAGTTCGATCTTTTTGTTTTTCCCTCAACTCTCTTTACTGGCAGCAATATATTTTGTGTCATTTTTATACTTTAATTTCTACATTTGAGACCCGCACCCAAGGTGTTTTTCATCATTAGATGAATAATAGAGGATACTCGTGGTCTTGCTGTTAAGTTGTTGTTCATTTCCCACGCTTCGTGAGATTGTTTGGATAGCGTTCTAAAAATACTGCCACGGTCAGTTGTCCCGTCAGCCCAGACGTTCCCACCGATAGGATATTTAAGAGCGTGTACGTACGACTGAATGGGACACAGAGACTCAGTCACTCATCATGATCAGGTGAAGAGCCATTAAGATTCATTAAACAGAGACTAAAGAACAGTTTTTGATCCGACTCCTGATGGCGCCGTTTGCTCGAGTTGCTGAGAGTAGTTAACGCCAACCGTCCGGTACACTGACTTTACCAGCGACGCAAGAGGCTAAACTTCATCAGTATAATTTTATTTTCAAATCATTTACACTGTAATGAAAACCAGAGAGCTATAAGTTACATTTGGCTTCTTATTTTGAAGAGCTACAAAAATGTAGCAAGTAATAGCTGATGTCAACGCACAGAATTATCTTTTGATAAAAAGATAATTAAGACAAAAGTTCAACGGTTAAACTCAAAGTAAAAACAACAATTGTGATCTACAGCCATCTTGGCATTTGGATAACCTTTACCTACTTAGGATTCAAGCTCGTGTACTGAAAGCCCATTGCATCAAACCTCAAGAGTGACAAGAACCGAATAGTAGAGTAAAGCATAGTTAGTAGAGGGGACTACTAACTATGAGTAAAGTAATGAATGGCCTGAACCCTAAGGGATCACTTCGACCCAAATAGTACCCACTGGGAAAAAAGTACTATGTGAAGCCAGTGATTCGCATAAACATAAAAAGGCTAAACAGATCAACATTCATAAAAAAGCAACTTTCATCGGATCTGGTATACAACTAACCGCAATTAAATGAACTGCATCTCCCGTTGTGAAATGTTCTTTCTTCTTATTTCTTTACTCTTTGTCTACTGACCCTAGGCAACTGTTATTTTCAATGTTTTTTTTCTTTGATGTCAAATTTCTTCATTGCAGAAACATTTCAAAGTATCATGCAATAATTTCTTTGACGCCCTTTACTGACAATTACAGAAACATCTATTTTGACTTTCAAGGTGATTTAATTAACGTTTTTTTTTTTACTCTGTGCGCAACACACAGTTTACTAGGTCAACCTGTCAATGAACCATTGTTATTAGCTTTCGCCACATAACTTGAGCACCGTTGTTCAGCTAATCAACTTGAAGTAAAAGATAGGTCATCTTCGATGCCACCCAGATCTGATTGTATTTTCAAAAACCACTCAGCTCTTTTCATAGTCATGATCGCTCGCATCCTTCTGGGAGCCCTTAAGGAAAAATTAATGAAAGAAACATTATCGAGCAACAGGCCGTCAAGAAGATTTTTGATATTTGTTAAAAATTTGTCTTTTGTCTATTTTCTTTCAGTCCCTCGCTAATAAATTCAATTTTATAAGGCAAGGAGTACAGGGGACCATAAACCATTAAATTTGGCTGACTACCAAAGACTTACGTCTTTGTTTTTTAGTTCCTCCTCGAGTGATTCCAAAAGCTCAGAAAAGGTAGGACGCTTTGTAGGATCAAAATTCCAGCAGAACTTCATGATATCGTAACAGTGAGATGAAAACGGTTTAGATTAGTCAACCTTAGAGCTGAAAAACTATGACAGACCGAGTTCTCATTTCATTTAAGATTACATTATTTACTTTTTATTTGGGCATCCATACGGCCTTGTTAAAATTTGTCTTACCTTCAGAAATTTAATTATTTCCATTCCGCCAAGACCAGAATACGGCATTTTACCTGATAGGAAAGACAAATAATTCAGTTTTTGTTGATGGTTGAGTAAGCAAATTATCTTAGTAACACGTCTAATTTTAATTTTTTATCGTCTGACCGACTGGTCTGGCACTAATTTCAAATCACTGTTAACACTGTTAACAATACAAAATAAACATGTTTGAAATAGAAGAGAAGACAAAAATGATAAAAAGTCTCAAGGCTAACATTGTTTACCTCCAGATTCAATCTCCCATAATAACATTCCAAAGGACCATCTGAAACAAAACAGCGCTATAAGGTTATTTTACAATAAACACAAATTTATTTCTTACCGGATTTTGATTTGAAATTGTACCATCACCATACCTCCTCAATATTCCTATATCTCGATCTCATTAGTATATCAAGGAAACCATGCAATTGGTACAGCTATATTTAAACACTATAAAAGTATTAATGCTAAGAGTGCCCGACCTGTTCTCAAAGTTTTTCGTTATCATGACGAAGGAAGCATGTGCTGGCTTATTCCAATTAAAAACCAAAGCTCATCTTTCAAACCGGCAGTCTAAATCCCACAGGGATCAACGAACGCTTTTCATTCCACTAATTTATTCTTGTTTTTCTCGTTGCCATGTTCCCACCAATAACGTAGCTCCATTTTATGCCTTTAAANTCAACATATCAACAATAATTAACAAACAAAATGCAGCTTTAAAAGTACATAACTGGCAATATTTTGAGTTATTCCAATTATTTAGATGATCTTGACAAAGCCTTACTTACCCTGAACAAGTATGGAAGTAACTTTAAGCCGATCTCCAAAGGATGAACGCACCCCTCCTATTAACTGATTAAGAGCATCATCTTCGTGCGTTGTTTTTATATTTATTGTTACAAGGACTTTAATGTCTGCCCTTAGGCTGTCATTTCTAAAGAGAATGGCAAGCCAAACTCAAAAAAGGACTAATTAGCGATAAGTAAGTTAATATTGATCATGAGAGCTGGCAAACTGCAAGGTGCTCGCAGCTTCTGTTTCAAGATGTGTGGGCGATCAAAACCGCAGTCTGAGATATGGAATGAAATTTTATTCTTATGCAAAGAATTTGATTTTAAACAAATCATGTTCTTGACTTGGCCTCATTTTGAAAGTGGCAGTGTCTAGAAACCGAAAATTAGCCAAGTTAAACAAGGGTTTAAACGAGGGTAAAAATGGTCACTCTAGCTTACCTGAAAAGTATAGTTATGACGTCATATATCTTCAAAAAAGAAGATTTATTGAAATGGTGTTTTATCTAAATGAAAAAACAGTGTTTTATTTAAAACAAAGTAACTAAAAATTTGAAAGCACTACATCGCCACACACTGATCAATGTTTACCAAACCAATTGTTACTTACTGAAACTTTAATGACTTCGGCCATCTCCAAGAACCTTTTACTGCTACTGTTGAGTAGATCGCTGGTAAAATCAGAGTCGATTATCAGCTGAAAGTCAACCTCAAATATTTCTGAACCTGAAAATCAACCAAAGAAAAGGTTGGTACTAGATTTCCAAATATGTTAAGACTTAGTACGGTGGTTCCTAACTCGGAAGAAGAAATTTAATGAGTCTCCAGGCGTCATGTTCAGCGGCATCGACTTCATTTCTTGGGACATCCCTAACGAGTCATCCGCGTCCGGTTATCTAACAAAGCTCTCGACTGCTTTCTTTTAGTTTGTTTGGAAAGTAGTTTATACCTTACTTACCGAAAGAAAGGGTTCTTATGACAAGGACCTTGCTAGTTCGCCCGTGGCCAATTTCATTTGGATGGTGTTTGGATGGAGATCTGTAATAACATCCTGAGCCAAGTTGGTAGTCGTATTTGCTTCTTTATAGAGCTCGGACCCGAAGCTCCGGTATTGAATCCTATAAGCCAACATTTGCCCTTTATGTCGAGAAGGAGGTATATTTTTCCAGTTGATTAAAATCGCAGTTGAATTAAGAGGATGGCCTTTAAGGAAAGTGGGAGCCTCTTCTGGAACTGGTATAACAAAAGTAAGTAAAACCAAGTTTTATCTCTCAAATATTTTGTGCAAAAAAAAAAGACTGTGTTCCTCTGGTAGGATCTGGAACCAATTCAAGAATCCAAGAGGACTGAGATCATGCTACATCTAAGCTATTAATGAATGTTTTAGATCCCTGAAGAAAAATTTTGTCTTGGTTCTTGCACCATGATCCAAAACTCTGGTAATTAATCTGTATATATGTGCCCTTCATCTGTGATTTCTCTTAGGCAGACCTTGAGTCATATTATGAAATCTTCTACCAAAACTTTTTTACCCATGAAACAAAGCGAAGGAAATTATGCTACAGATAAGACCATCCCAGTTTGTTTTTCGTCGGTACCTACATGTTATGCCTCTAAATTATGTTGGAAAAATTTCAAAATAATCATTCATATTTATAAATTCAGTCTTCCATTGACACTAAAGTTCTTTGGTTCCGGAGTAAGTTCCCTTTATGATTAAAGTTACCGCTTGGACGACATCGTTATACATTGCAATATTCCCATCGAACATTTGGGTCAGTGGTATAACACCATGGTCCATTAGGGGCACTGCTGTCCGGGTTACGAAACATGTTCGAGTCATTTTTGGAATCGGCAACATCTTTAGGAATCCGCTAATGACGGTAAGGACACTGAGATTTCCAAGGCTGACATGTACGACCAGACCGAGTTGTGTTTACGTTGCCACGGTAACCGACTCCCTCGCCATAGTAACAATCTGAGATAAATCGCACTTTGATGTTAAAGCACCGAAAAGCGTATAGAGCGTAAAGAGAGTGGTACAATTGGAGAATTTTTAAAAAGATTTCTTCATCTCATGGCGTATAATTTAACATTTATAGAAATGGTCTATTAATTTTGATAACATCATGTTACGTTTGTTGAAAGAACAATGGACCCATCGGATAACATTCCACTAGAGATCGAAAAATACAAACTCAGAACATTTGAAACAGACCTGTACTTTCAGTGTCATCACCTATGGGAAATGAAGAAAAGTGATGGCATTTGCAGTTAGAAAAGCGAAGTCAAAGCAAGAAAGCGTCTAATGTCATTAAGAAAAACTTATACAGTCATTTTCTGGCGTCTGATTTTGTATATGTTTAAATTTGTGTGTGCTTATCTTGGTTTGTCTGTTTGCATATTCACACAAGCCATGTGGCTCATTATGTTGCCGGAACGTTCCTACTTTTCATGACACTACCCTTTTTTAGCTCTCTTAAGATGAGATTCTAATCCATCACGGCTAACCTATTCTCCCCCGTCCCCTCTGCACCTTACGGCAAATTTCCCTGACAGATCGCCGGTACTCATTATTTACACACCTGGGAGGGGAAAGGCATCACATGGTGCAATCTATCTCCCCCCGGACACAAAGCACAACAACCTGTTAGTGCTAACGAGTTTAAGATATGACCAGACGATGAGGGTAACTTGTTCAAATAAAGGATTTGATGAGGATGGTGTTACACTTACCGGGAAGATCGTACCATTTACACTAAGGCCGGTGCATCTCTGATTAACGCTAATTCTCTTTTACAAACGACTTGGTCAACATATTCGCATGAGCTGCGACAAATCCGACGTTTTTTGGGCTGTCCCAGTGTTTCATCGCACTGTGGGAAGTGATAGCGACAGAACAAGTCTCTGATAATGAGCCTGCACTTCGGCGTGATTTCAATCAATTTTAGAAAACTGTTCGAGTTCCCAGTTTCCCTTTCACCAAAATCCAACGTGGATTGGTCACCATAAACGTTTGACTTGTAATTATGTTTTTACATAATTCGCCTTTATACTCGTAAAATATACAGTAAGCTGCTCTCACAGAAGCGTTAACTGGAGGAAATGCTTGCCTGCAGCTGTAACAAGAATAAAGTCAGGACAAAAGAAATAGAATAATTAAATGAAAGAGTATACCATCATGCCCAATATAGAAACAGCATCTAACTTTTGAGACACACTTAAGAAAGCACATTCCTCTGTAAAATTCACGAGGGAAACCGAACGCAATGGAATGCTCCCATTTCTGGGTATCCAGTTGCCGAACAGATCGCCACAAATAGAGACAAAGGTGTATGTAAAACCCACCAATTCAGGTCTACTCTTACACTACTAGAGTCATGGCGACAATCGCTACAAAAAGGCTTTACTAAGAACTATGCTTGATCGAGCTCATCGTTCATCTTCATCTTGGACACGATTTTTCCGACGAATGTGACCGTTTGAAATCAGTATTCTCAAGGTTGGAGTATCCCAAACATCTTGTTAATTCTACTATCAGATTAAAAGCTTCGTTGACTCCAAAATTTGAGACCAACAACAGCCTTTATCACCATCTCAAGAGAAAAACGACAAGATTCGAGTGGTTTTACCATTTTAAGACCAAATCTCAGCAGATATTGTGAGGAAACAACTTAAGGACCTAAGCCTAAACTGAGTACACGCCACCATCCAGCCTGTGTTTGTGAGCCGAAAAATTGAACAAGAACTATACATGAAGGAACCAAAGCCACCAATTGTAAATCAGCAGTGTGTTGTTTACATTTTTCAATGTGACCTGTGTGATGCGGGTGATGTAGGTTACACACGCGGACATTTACATAATCGTGTAAAAAGGACCTAAACAACAATCCTCCCCCATTGACAAACACTATAAGGAGAGTGCACGGGACAATGCCCCAGGACCTGCTAAAGCGTTTCGAAGTGCTTAAGAAATGCAGAAAAAAATTTGACTGCTTAATGTACGAAATTCTTTTAATAAGAGCGTTAAAGCCTAATCTCAACGTGCAATCAGACTCCATTCGTGCGAAAGTATTTTTATAGTATTTTTATGATCTTCGCACCCTATTATGTTAATTCTTCGCGCCAAAAACGCTTTATACGTTGCAATTTGCATGATCTCTTATATTTTCCTTGATAATGGAGTCATGACTACTCCGAAGCGTCGGATTTTATCGTTCGTTTTTACAGTTTTATGTCTTAAGAAATCTCTTTTGATACGAAAGAGTATACCTATAAATTACTTGATGAAATCTGAATAAACATATGTTTAAAATCCGCACGAGTGTGAAATGTCAAGCGTACCAAACTTGAATTAGAATCCACTTGAGTAAAGTTACTCTCTAGTTATCAAACAAAAAAATACAGAATACAAAGTACATTAATTTTTTTAGCGAGGATTAATCTCAACCAGAGTGAAATAATACTATGACTGAAAACCTTCAAAGTAAATAGTTCATTTATCGACACAAAATAACAAACAATCTTCAACTGGTTTTCATGTCTGAAGAACTTTCAAGTTTAAAAGCATCACAAAGCTGTGCGAGATTAAAGGAAATACACTTTTTCTACTCACTACAGCAAGCCACAATAATGTTCAAGATGGTAAGAATGATAATTGCAAAGGCACGAGCTCTTTCCATACTGGGAAGGCTGACTGCTTGCAAACGCACGGCAATCTGGCACAAGGTAAGTGAATTTGCAAAGTCAAAAGCTTCGATGAAATAAGATCACGAACTACCTAATTATATACCATCGAGTTGAAATCTGTGATAATTCACTATCAGTATAGAGAGCGACTTCTTCTGTTGACTTAACACTCGACACGGGAGAGGTTATGGATATGTTCTGATCAATAAGAGGGATTGGAGAGTCATTCAGCTCGATGTCTATTGAGTCTACCAAGTCTCTTGCAGATATCAGATATCAGCAGCAGCGAATTTAAAAAAGAAGCTTTCAATTCCATCTCAAAACACACGTCACACTTCAGGCGAGTTACTGTTTCAGAGATCGATGTAATTAGTTTGCTCGGCCTATCCAAAAATGGTCTCAACGATCTTTATGGTGTCTAGATTCTTGGTTGACTGGGAGTTCTGCGGCGTTTAACGAGCTGAAGAGAAAAGAAATCATAGGTTTACCTGCTGACAGGTTTTTGTTTTCCTTCTTTAGTCAAAAACGTCCGCTCGTGATTTCTTTGAATTGTAACTACAATACACGGAGACAACCTCTGTACACGAGACAATTATTGACTCTAATGATATATCGCTCAAAAACGAAATATATTAAACACACTTAGCCGCATATCAATATTGATATCCGAAAAGGCGGAACAACAAGACGTGAAGCAGCAGTCCATAACCGTAAAAGCTGAAGAAACTAAAGCGAATAATGAAAACACTTCCTCAGTCTGTCGTCGCACGTGACTTAGTGAATTAGCTGAGCATGTCTCGCCTAAATTATGAATGATTTATTACCAACGCCACCAGGTGGCTTGCCCCTGAACATGATGTTCGTCGCGCGAATTTCATGCTAACCGGTTGCAGATGGAAAGTATCTCTGCGCATTCTTTACTTTTTTCGCACACATGGCAACTCTGTTTGATTTCTATTTGTTTCTTATTCTGGTACGTTAATGTTTGCTGTGGTGTGGAAGAAGTAATTCTTTCTGAGGGGAAATTAGCACAGAGGACTGCGGCGACATCAAGAAATTCTAAAGTTTGACACATTTACGAAGTATGAAATTCTTCTTTCACAATGACGAGGAAAACTAGCTGCAAAGCGTAACAGGCTCTGAGCGAAAGACACCAAGGACTCCCGACCTGTTCTCTTCAGTCTTCTTTAATCTTTGTTCTCTGACTGATTGATCAACTCTGATTGATTCTTGCTTACTCTGAATAATTCACATCGGTTATCCTCTCTTATTACGAGCCCCACAGTAATTGCTTCATGATAACTACTATCGGTAGCATGATGGCATGCAGGCCAACTCATATTGGAAGATCAAACATCTGTTGTCAGAACACTGACCATAACACTTTTATAAGAATCTCACAGATGAACAGTAGCATATGTAATGCTTCCGATCAAACAAACAATATTTGTTTGATAATGCCAAAACATTAATTCAAAAACGTTAGTGTAAGTTAAAGGAAAAAAACACACCATTTCTGGAAGTTTAGGCAAGACAGTTACAATGACGAAACACTTGGCGATAGGTAAATACCCAAATACCGTCGGACTTAAAGTTCAATGAGTATAAAAACTAAATATACACACATCCCTTGGTAATCCAGGAGGAAATCGATATTGGTCCGAGTAAGCGCGAAGTCACAGTCATTGAGAACTGACTCAGTTTGTTTTGACGGTCAGTAAGTTAACAATGCTCTGAGCACGTGCAGTTCAACTAAAGCTTGAACAGGGTCGTCACAAGGTTGTTCCTTGTGATCGAGTGGGTTCTTTTGCCGATTAAGAAATATCCCCTCTTCCATAAAGGGAACTTCACCCCTTTCGATCAAAGGAAAAAACTTTTCTCCCTTCTTCAGGACATTTCAAGAAATACTTCTGTTTTTTTAACCGACCCATACGGATGAATGGTCTAAAAGAATGTGAAGTGTTAAGACATCTCGTAACTTAATGCCAGCGATTTCCTCTTTTTTCTCTCTCTCTCTCTCTCTCTAATCCTGTGTAAGATGGTATCATACTAATTCTTTTGCAAATAAAGGTTTATTCAAACACTTCTAATACTTGATCACGCTCTTTGGAAAATCGAACAATGAGACCACCCACTGTAACAAGCACGAATTAAAAATGGAAACGAATAAAACGGTCAGCCCACAGTTTGCTTGTAACCTATGAGCCTTCATAATGGTTCTGCTTGCTACATAGTTGGTTGCAGTTCAGTTGAATAAGCATTTGACTTTGGAGTGGGAAGCTGTTACGATTTAAATCAATCCGAATTGAACTTAGCTAATTCATGGTCTGACTCACGTGGAAACAACTTCCTTACCAACAAAAACATGCTTTTCCGCAGGAACTAATAACAGAAACTTGTGCTTCCCATTGTGCTATTGAGTTACGTATTGATGCATATCCTCGATCCACAGTTCTACCGGTTTTGATTCGAATTTCTGGTTCCCGCGTAGTCTTCTTATCCCTTTTTAAAACCTTTTCGTCTTCCCGTTGTCTTGCCACCCACAGTTTCAGTCTTCTTCGAGAAAACGACAAAAAAAAAAAAAAAGCTGAAAGTAAAGATACTTTAAAAACGTAGAAATGACTTGAATTCATAATGAGTCAGCCTAAGAGAATCAGTTGACCCGAAGAATATTAATTAACGAGTCTTGCTTTATCAATATTTGTACACGAACCAACACGGTCACAGTTTCCTAAGCTTTCCCATATGAGGTGGGTAGAAGTTACATACATGACAGTGGAGTTATTACACCCTGCGGCCACTTTGAGTCAGACTATTGAGTAGGCCTACAAGAACTAATGCCTATCACCGATCACTGTGTTTTATTGATATTCAATCCCTTAATTTGGAAACCAACAACAAACTATTCCCATTTCAACATATTTTTTTTTCCAAAAACTTGCATTTAGCTCATTTATAATGCATGCACCACTTTTCCATTTCTGTTTGATATTTCTCGGAAATTTGATTGTGTTAAGTAATTGAGTGTGTAACTATCGATGAATGAGGCTCGTTTGATTGACATTCCAGATGAAAGGAAATCAATTATACAGCTGAATGCAGTTTTTAATGAAGGGCCAGCGAGCTCAAGAGGGATGAAGTGTAAAACAAACTTCTCTTTAGAAATGATCACGTAAACATCAGAACTTAGTGTAACGGACGCGACGATAATTAGCAGTCTCATCCTCCACTGCTCACAATTTCACCAATCAAGTGACAGAACGATTCATCTCGTTATGCGTCACGAACGTCACGTTTACTTGGGCATTATAGATTCAAACAATCAGTTCACAGATGGTACAATAGCCCATTTCCGAATTACCCTTGGCCTAATTTTCAAAACGAGTCCTGGTTCTCATCCTTTCATATGATAATAAGTTTTCATTCACATGCAAATTAAACTCAATTTCACAAGATTGGTTGAGCACAAGGCCTCGTTTTGAAAAAGATGCCAAGGGTAAGTCGGAAGTGGGGTATCAAAACTCTTTTTCCTATTTCTCTCACTTCATGCAATTCAGGAGAATTTTCTTGCCTGTTTGACGAAACTTGGGGCCGCTGTAGGGAAAAACAGATATTAGAAAGGTAAGCAAATCGTAAATACACTTTTTTTTTTTTACCGAAATGTTCTTAGCTGATTCTTGGATTCAAACCCGTGAATCGGCAAGGAAACCTTTCATGCAGGAGAGGATATTTTAAGATTTGTTTTGTTTTAGTGTTTTGTTTGTCTGCATGCATTTTCGGACGGAAAGGGTTCACGGACTCAAGGGTAATGCATAATCCACAAACTTAGCTTTATGCATAATCTCTGTTCATTTCTAATCTCTCATACAAGGCGTTTCATAATAAATGTACTTGTGTGATTCAACTCATGTAGATCATTAATTTTGCTCTAGAAATTTCTCGAACGATTAAAAAAACGGTAGAAAAATATTTAGTTTGCGTAATGATCACTGATCCATGTTTGCAATAAAATACTTGGATCTATAGACAAACTGTGCTTTTCGATAACTTGATTTACACTTTGTTGCTAGTTTGGATGACAAGGATAACAATTACAGACGTGCACGGAATAATTAAGAAGTTCTTCCCTTAAATTGATGTTTTAAAGTCTGGAAATTTTATCTCCGGTCTAAACTTATTTTAATAGGCGATCTTGATTAGCAGTCCTTGGAACTAGAAGATGCGATACGCCATAGCTTTCTTGGCCAGTTCGTATGTTTTGAACCAGTTTCTGGGAAGTGCGTTTATCTTGCTTGACTTTATATTCCCTAAGTGTTTCATGGCAAACCTTCCAAACAAAACGTTAAGGGGGGTAGCGTGGGGGAAATATTTAAGACGTGTATACCAAGTATTTGAACATCTTTTTTGTAAATTTAAATCGATCTTATTTGCTGTAGTATATTAATCAAGATAGACAATGTTTTCACCGCAAATCTGTCTTAAAAATTTTGGTTTTGCACGAGGTATTACTAACCCCTCCCTAAAGGAAGTCTTAAGAAAGGCACTTGTTATGAAATGACATGACGTCATAGCACTATTCTCAAATCCTGTCGTTTCTCTAAAGACTGTCATTTATCCGTCATCAAAAACTGAATCATTGGATGATACAATTCCAGAGGCTGTTTGGTTTAGCCTTCGTGGGTTGTGAGCAACGATACAATCCACTACAAATATAGTAGGTGTACACGTAACATCCTGTTTGTTCTTATAAAACAAAGACGGAAAGGTTTACCAAATTGTGCAAAGCGTTAATAGAGCAAGTCAAATCTATCACCAACGGCCGCCTGTGGGATAACTGTTCACAAGTACTCTCTAGATCTCGTTATGCAAGCATAATTTGTTTGCGATACCGGACCAGGATCATTTCAGTATTGACTTTATTCCTGAGTCCGTCAATCAATGGACTTTTGCTTCTCCAAATTATGCAAAGCGTTAATAGGTCAAATGAAAGATATTTTATAACTCAAAAATTCCAAATAGACGAGGGTGGGTTGGTCTACACTTGAAGACCGAGCCTTTACTCATTCAAGTCCATTCTTACGGACCGCGCTTCTCTTGACAAACCCCAACTTGGACATTCGAAAAATTAAAACGAAAAAAAATATTATTGAAGACATATCCTTCCAGAATTGCTTGGATTCAACAGGAATAGGTCTTACTCGCCGTTTTTATTCTATAGGTAACTTTTTTTATATCATTGCAGCAGAGCAGTGTGACCTTTCAGGGCGAAGTAACGCACAGATTGAAATAACGGAAACTTAACCCCAGGACTGAGCTTGAACAATATTAATCGAACACACGTTGATCGGTTGAATAATTCTACAGAAATCAAGTTAAATCAATCAGAATGTTTATTGGAAGAAGCGGCGGTGAATCAAATAGAGGTTGTAGATGTGTGGTTCGAACTAGAGGCAAACGATAAAAAAGAAAAGGAAAGGCTTATGTAAGCTAATGCTACAACATAAATCAAGGATACCGATAAGAACACAGATCTAATAAATGAAAGAAAACGATTAAAACTGAAGATATGTGATTAGACTTACTTTGATCTTGCTCCTGCGGGTAGCAATGGATAGAATGATAGGTTTAAGAACTTACGATAGCGAGAGGACTACGGAGCATGTAACTCAACAGATAAAACGTATAATTAAAAACTGGATCATTGGATAATGCAATTCAAGACTTTTTATTCGCTTAGCCATTATGGTATATGAGCCAATATACCATAATCTAATATCTGTACATTGTAACATCGGGTTTCTTCTTACAAAATAAAGTCAAGAAGATTTGTCTAATACCTTGGGAGGGTTTTTTTTTTTCGATAAAACAATTATTCCACTCGCGCTTGTTCGGATATGAGATGATTATAGCCAACGAGGCGCTACGCGCCTCGTTGGCCATCTATCATCTCATATCCAACGCACGCTCATGAAATAATAGTGGCTGATTATATCGATTTCAAAGGTTATGTAACGAAGTTTGATTCCGGCCCTAGATATCACGACGTCAATAAAGCTTAAACGTAACAAAACTGATAATTAGTAAAAACTAAACAAACCAGAATAAAACGTGTTGCGCAAGTAACAAGCAGGTTGCGGTGACAATCATCTTTACGTGCTCGATATGTTGGTCGTAATTGAAATTGTAAAAAACACAGAAAGGGAAAAAGTGTCCCATTGGGAAAATAATTTAAAAGAGGTTCAATCTTCGAGTTAATGCTTCAACCCTCTCCTCTCCGTTTGTTTGTTTTGGTTGATTTTTCCTTTTTGCGGTTTCTTTTTCTTTTCTTTCATGCGGGGAAGGGAGTGGAGTTGCGGTAAGTTAGACAACTACGATCGAGTTGATTGCGCTAGGAGTGTTCTTCAGACGTCCTTTGTTTTTTATCAGGAATATACTACAAGAAAAAAGCCTGTCTCATCAAGACTAGGAAAACTTGATATACGAAATTACCCAACCCTAGAAACGGAACGCCCGATGATTATATAGTAACCCTTTTAAATGGTAAACTTTTAAGGGGAAACTTTGAAACAATGTCTCCTTAGAAAATGGGCAACAATCAGACTTTTACAAAACCTCATCCTGGAACTTGTTGGTCAAGCGTGTTTGCACCGGTTGGTCCTATCAAAGAGCCGCTGCCCATGTTGGCGTGCTTGTTCGTCGCTGCCCTTGGTCTCTTTGGCGTGTTACTGTCCAGGAGAGTAACCGAGGGAGGCAAGTTTCTGTACTCTACTTTGTTCGGCTATGGCATCGCTAGTTTCTGCTTCCATTGGAATTTGTGGGAAGGTTTCTACCGAGTCCTTGACGTCCAACTGAACTTCCTCCAGGCCATCAACATTGTCTACATGAGTTGCATCCCTAAAGGAGAAAATTTATTTTACAAGGTATCCTCGTACTTGCTGATCATGTTTTTCTCTATCTACCCGTTCTTTGCTCATGTTTTGGGAATTACTCTAAAGAAATCCTGGATCTCTTGGATCACGTTTGATGGGATTTGGATATTCGTTTTGATCGGGTTAATGATCATTTGGTTCCAACGGGACCACTTAGGAACGCCAAAACACCCAAGCCGACAAGCAATGTTCAATCTTGTGTGGAAAACCATCTTCTCGGTAATGTCGGCGTACCTCTTCTGGATCCTTGATGAGGTGGTATGTGTGTTATTCGATAACCACCGTTTCGTCATCGTCATCTTTGGACACACTCTTTGGCATGTGTTCATTGGGTTCGGCTTTTACTACCTGACGACCCTCATAGTCTTCTTACTAGCTGAAGACCTGCGTGTTTACCCTAAAGTCCTCACCTGGCCCAAGAACAAGCCTTTCTTTGTCTTCGTTGTGGTGCAATACGAACACTATGATCTGATGAGTAAGGCCGAAACAACATCAAAGAAGGAACATTAATTGTACGTGTATTGTTATGGTAAGTGCCCGTTGTTTCTCTCAAGGTAGAAATCCTTCGATGTTGTTAAAAAATAGAATCAGTGTAATTGGTTTAGCCTAATTTCATCATTTATGCGAGCTCGATTTACGATCAAGCCAATGGATGGCGATTGTTTTCCAAAGGAACTAAGTCACAGAGTCGTTTAGGAGTGAAGCTCTTATCTTCTTTTAGAAAATAGGACTAAATATGCATGCATCATTTTGTTCTTGCACCTGGTAACTTTGATTCAACAAAAGGATGGATAAGTATGGCTTTTGGTGATTATCGTCGACGAGTTAATCTCTTCTTGTCCCCTTTACAGTACTCAGTAACATTAGCTAAACGCCGATTTCCAAACGGATTCTGCTTCAAATTCCGAAAGTTCGCCTTCTGTTCACACGTCTCCACGAACAAAGCCTCTCCCCAATTTGAAAGCCTCCCACTCAGAGCCATTTCGTATTTAAGCCTCTGAGGGCTTATATTTGGAAACTAATTTTATTCAAACGAAACTAGCCACCATATTGGAACTTTATGAGAAAAGTCCGACATGACTTTTCACACGGTGCATTTCTAGCTATTTCTATTAACTATAAAGTATAGTGTGAATGAGGTGCTCTTGGTGCCGAGGCGGCTCTCTCAAACTGTTAGACTTAACGTAGGTAGTAAACTACAGTAATCTATTTTGATTCTTTTTTTGTAATCAATAGTTTCTCTATTTTGGTAATAAAGTGTAGCTGTTGTTGTCGTTGTTTTTGTTTTTAAGCCACACAAAAATGGTCTCTAGGGGCCACCAGCTGGTTCGGGCCCCAAGAAACAAATCCTCATCCTTCAATACATATTTGTCCTTGAATCTATATGAAAGAAACCCCCCTCATTGTCGCTATTACAAAGATGCATTTGGAGGAAACAACACACTCTGCAGAGTTATTCAGAAGCAGCTATCTGTAGTGGGTCGTGGCTAGTGCACATTTATGTTTAAATACAATTCGCACATTCGTCGAGTTTAATTCCTAGTGGTCTCAGAATTCAATTCGGACAAGGCCTTGCACTCAAGACTTACGACAATTACCTACCCCAAACTTGAAAGTTATCGACCGGTCGTCTTTTATACAACGTGAACACGATGTAAACAGTCCCGTTAACTAATATAAGGACTCCGAGAAAACCATAAGACGATTACCTTTAATGTGTTACACCTACCAGCATAAGACGATTAACTTTAATGTGTTACACCTACCAGCATAAGACGATTAACTTTAATGTGTTACACCTACCAGCATAAGACGATTACCTTTAATGTGTTACACCTACCAGCATACCATTGATAGCACTCAGGAGCATCGCCACCATTGACAGATTCAAACTTGGAGCTTGAGCGATTTATCATGTCCGTCACCGAATACCTCTGATGAAGGCCATTTCTCCTTTCCAAACGACTTGGTCCAACTATTCGCATGAGCTGCGACAAATCTAACGTTTTTAAGGCTGCCCCACGGTGATTCATCACACTGTGGGAAGTAATAGCGACAAGTTTCTCATTATGTGCCTTTACTTCGGCGTGTTTTCAATGAGTTTGAGAAAGCTGGTTGTTCCCAATTTCCCTTCCACCAATATCCAAAGTTGAATATAGTTTTTATTGAAGGGGCAGCGAGCTCACGAGGGATCTGAATGAAGTGCAAAATAAACTTCTCTTTAGAAATGATCACGTAAACATAAGAACTTAGTGTAACGGACGTGACGATAACTTGCAGTCTCATCTTCTACTACTCTGTGTCACAACTTTACAAATCAAATCACAAAACGATTCATCCCACTTTGGGTCACGTCACGTTCACGCGTCCGTTAGAGATTCAACCAATCAGGGTTCTTCCTGTTCGTCTCACTTCATGCAGTCAGGATAATTTTCTTGACCGTTTGACGAAACTTGGTGCCACTCTAAGGAAAAACAGATACTAGGTAAGTAAGTCGCAAATATATTTTTTCACGAAAATGTTCTTCATTGATTCGCAGATTCAAACCTGTGAATCAGCAAGGAACCCTTTAATGCAGGAAATGTTTATTCATGTATGCCACGAGGCCTCTTACATTTCGAGAGGATTATAAAGAGGATATTTTAAGGATATTTTAAGAGGATATTTTAAGATCTGTTTTGTTTTCGTGGTGAATGCATAATCTACAATATCTCAGCTTTGTCTATAAGCTCTGTTCATTTCTACTCCTATACAAGGCGTTTCATAATGAATATATTTGTGTGTAATAAAGGGTAATAAAAGGCTACACTGAACATTGTTACAGTAATTTCTCGAACGAATAAGAAAACAGTTAGAAAAACTAGCGATATTATTTCATGTCCTTTCAGTTTATTGGTAAAATACAGGCACAATTTAGCAATCGAATTATAGAATTCTGCATTTTCGTTTTTAAAGCGGAAGCCATTGCTAAACACTTCTCATTTTAGATATGGAATGGAAAACTAAAGTGCTTCTCGAAACAGTTTTTCTCGCTCGCTTTTGCATTATTATTATTGTACTTTCTTTCAAAAATGGGCTTCCTTGAAAAATCCCTTTTTTCAGATAGGAATTTCAAGTATTGTTGGTTAGTTGTCATCTGACGCGCAGTGTTGCCCTCTTCACCCCTTTTCAGCACGAACGTCCAACAGCCGTGACGGTGGCAAGTGTAGATTGTGCAGTGATCCACGTCTGGCCGGCAATAACGTCCTTGCATCTACAGACAAATTACGCTTTTCGGTAACTTGATTTATGCTTTGCAGTTAGTTTGGATGACAAGGATAAAAAGTACAGATGTGCACAGAAATAATAGTTTTGTCATAAACAGACGTCATTTATAGTCAGCCATTTTACGACCTTTAATCTCGTTTCATAGATTGCATTACAAAAGATGTGATACGCTATGGCTTTCTTGCTCAATTTATATTATAACATCTTTTAGCCATAAATTTAAATTGATCGTGTTTGCTCTAGTATCACGATAGAAAATTATTTCGCCGTAAATTTGTCTTGAAAATTTTGGTTTTGTACAAGGTACTCCTGATCCCTCCCAAAAGGAAGTCTTAAGAAAGTCGCTCGTTACGAAATGAAACGCTGTCATAGCAGTTTTCTTCAATCCTGTCGTTTCTGCAAAGAATATTATTTGCTATGCAAATAAGGCAATTTTTACACGTAACACTCGCTTTGTTCCTGCAGAACAAAGTCGGAAAGACTTACCAAATTGTACAAAGCGTTGATGGATCGAAGTAAATTTATCATCTCATATCCAACGTGCCCCGTGGAATTACTATTTATAAGCCCTGTCTCGATGAGCAAGTATGATTTGTTTTGAGACACCTAAGATCATTCCAATTTTGACTGCACTCAGGAGTTTGTTAAGCAATAGACTTTTGCTGACTAAGTTATGCAAAGCCTCGGTAGATCAAATGAATTCTATTTTAATTTCTAATTCAAAAGTTCCAAATAGAGTGAGACGCTGTGTACTACTATCCTGTACAGCGAAACTCGCGTGTGAGAGGATTTCGGGTCCTTCGGAAGTTTCTAACGTCAAAGTGAGATAATTCAAGACTTGTTGTCTCAAGAAACAAAGATTTTCGGACGGCGTGTCATAAAGAAATAAATATAACAGAATAGAGAATCTTGGCTAAGAGCCATGGCTCTTGTCACATTGCCTTTTCACGTTGTGTTCACTGATTTTACAGCGGAAAAACGAGTTTTGGCCGCGCCAGGCTCCAAGTTTGAGAAAATGGCGGGAATTTCGTCGATCGTGTAAAAAGAAAAAGGGTTACGAAGCTTTATACGCTTTCCCAATTTTCTCGATAAGAAGCAGCATTTTCTCTTCGTTAACTAGTGTGTTGTTTTCGTGGGGAATTGATTTTTATTTCGGACATAATTAGCATCAAGAAGGTTTCAGAACCTTTTATCTCCCCGCGGTATACAAAAAATTTCGGTACGAGGACACCTGACTTGGGCTACAGCCGAGTTACTAACCCCTCAGACCCATAACATGATGTTCGTAGCGCGACTTTGATGCTAATTGTTGCCGATGGAAAATGTCTGCCCATTTTGGAAGTTTTTCGTTTTTTGCACCGTTGACGTAACAGGCTTGGCGAAAGGCATCAAGGACTCTCTTGGTTACTGAGTGCGCTCGACTACGGATCGAGTGGCCCGGGTTCGAAACATTGTGTTGCCACTTTACTCTCACAGTGCCTCTTTTCACCCAGGAGTATAAATGGGAACCAGCGAGTTTAATGCTGGGGGTAACCTTGTAATGAACTAGCATTCCATCCAGGGGGGAGTAGAAATACTTTTAGTCACTTCATGCTCCGGAAACTACATTCAAGTGCCGGCCCGATGGGCCACTTGGTTCGTAAGCAGGTTTTACTTTTACCTATCTAGGAAACTCTTGGCGATAGGTAAATATCCAAATATCATCGGAATTCAGATTGAATAAATCTAAACGTTAAATATAGACCAATCACTAACACAATAACTGAAATTACTTTGTGTGATATCAAGAAAACAAAAAGATAGGATACGCAATTTTTTTTTTTCATAATTCAAGGATTTGGACAGCAGCACTCAAACTTTGGTTCTGTCACGTAGCGAAAAACATGGCTCGACACATCGAGAGTGAAAAAAAAAAATAATGACCTAGTGACGGTGGAAACGAAGTCCGGCGGATGTTCGAATCATCAATGGTTTGAGAAACAGACAGCAAAATTATTGATAGTGGAAATTTAAAAACGATCTCTGGCAAAATTTATTAAAAATTACGAGCTTTCAACTGCCCGAACTGCAGTCTTCTACGGGTAAAATGAATGATAAGGAAGCGATGAGAGAATTTAATAAAGACATGAACTTCGAAATAATGAGAATGTAAATTATTATGAATATTTGTTAAAAAGAATGTTGTATTGTCCGGGTAACGGGCAAGAAGTGTTATCTGCGTTAGGTGTCACTCTGGTATGCCACGCTAATTTTTGCCAGAGATCGTTTTTGAATTTCAACTATGTTCATCCTGGCTGCGGCCCTTCGATATTTTAAGTAAAATTGATGTTAATGTGCAGTGGAAATCCAGGGGGAAATCGATATCGGTTTGAGTTAGCACGAAGTTACATTTATTGAAAGCCGAATCAGTTTGTTTGACGATTAGGAAGTTAATATTTTCTATGCTCTGAGCATGTGTAATTGATCTGAAGCTTAAACAGGGTCATCAAAAGTTTATTCCTTGTGGTTGAGTGAGTTCCTTCGCCGATTGAGAAATATCCCCTCTTCAGTGAAAGGAACTTCACCGCTTTCGATCTAATGAAAAAAACTTTATCCCTCCTTCAGGATAATTCAAGAAATATTTCTCTTTGTTAACCAACCCATGCGGATGAATGTTTAAAAGAAATGTGAAAGTGTTACGAAATCTTGGAACTTGACCCTAGTGATCAGTTTCTCCTTTTTTGCTCTAATCTTGAGTCAGACCTTTCAAAATATGATATACTTTTGCTAAATAAAGATAAGATTTATTCAAACCCTTTTTAAACTAGATCGCGCTTTTAAGAAAATCGAATAATGATTCGTATTTCAACCATTTTGAAGGAGGAGCTTAACACTTTATAGTTCATACTGATTGTTTATTGCATCTCAGGCACGCGCACTCCTAAAACGAACCGGGTCGACGCACATCCTCGGAGCCAAGCATCTTAAACAACTGGCCAAGACCATTAGAAGTAAGGTTAAGATACGTGCGAAGGAGGGTTGAATAAAATAGAAACACTGTTCCATTCACGTGTTACAAGCACCAATTAAAAATGAATAAAGGCTGTTTCTAAAGAAACTGTTTGGGGCTGCGTCGGTGGGGGTAACGAAATAATTTGGAGTATCAACAAAGTTGAAATGGTGAATTGGCCACCGTAAAGATTGTTACGGTGACCAATTTACCATTTCAACTTTGTTGATATATCCAGATTAAAAATGAAGACAGATAAAAGTGGTCGACCGAGCCATAGTTTGCTTGTACCTGTCAACTTCATACTGTGGTTCTGCTCGCAAAAAAGTAGATCGCAGCTCTGTTGATTGAGCATTTGACTTTAGAGTCGGAACCGGTTAAGGTTTGAATCCATCCCAATGGAAAAGAGCTAACTCATGGTCTCACTCACGTGATAAAAATTTCCACAAGAGAAAAAATCTATTCCGCAGGAACTCATAACAAAAACTTGTACTTCCCATTTTGCTGTTGGGTAATACGCGCTGTTGCTTATCCTCCGCAGTTCTACCGGTTTTAATTTGAATTTCTGGTTGCTGTGTTGTCTTCTTATCCCTTTTTAAAACCTTTTCATCTTCCCATCTTTATATTCTTTTCTTTTCCCGTTGTTTTGCCGCCCAAATTTTCAGTCTACTTCGAGAAACGACGAAAAACGCTCAAAATAAGGATGCTTTGAAAACGTAGATATGACTTGAATTCGTAATGAGTCAGCCCAAGGGAATCAGCAAACCCGGAGAATTTTAATTAACGAGTCTAGCTTTATCAATATTTATACTAGATTGGGTTCACTTCCCGTCCTTCAGACAATAAATGTTTAGAAATATTCTGAAAATTCATTTACTGAAGATACACGAACCCACACAGTCACAGTTCCCTAAGTTTTGACAATGGACTCATTGCACCCTGCGGCCATTTAGAGACCGACTACTAGGTAGGCCATACAGTAAGTAATGCCTACCATTGATGATTGAGTTTAATTGATATTCAACCTCTTAGGCTTGGAAAGTAGCTACAAATTATTTCCATTTCACAACATTTTCCTCGAAAACGTTCAATTATCCGATTTAAATGTGTTTACTGCTTCGCCATTTCTGTTCGCAATTTCTCGGAAAGTTGATTGTGTGAAGTGATTGACTGTGTAACTATCGATAACTAACGCGTGCTAAAAGAAACCAAATTACAGCTGAATGCAGTTTTTATAGAAGAGGCAGCGAGCTCAATAGGGATGAAGTGTAAAACAAACTTCTCTTTAGAAACGATCACGTAAACATCAGAACTTCAGTGTAACGGACGTGACGATAACTTGCAGTCTAAACTTCCACTGTTCTGAGTGACAATTTGACCAATCGAAATCACAGAACAATTCATCCCGCTGTGCGTCACGAACGTCGCGCTCACGCGGCCGTTAGAGATTCAACCAATCAGAACACAGATGGTACAATTTCTAATATGTTCTTCCTGTTTGTGTCTTCATGCAGTTCATAAGAATTTTCTGGACTGTTTGACGAAACTTGGAGTCTCTGTAAGGAAAGACAGATATCGGAAAGGTAAAGAAATCGTAAATACATTTTTTACCGAAATATTCTTTGCTGATTCCCGGATTTAAACCCGTGAATCGGCAAGGAAACTTTTCATGCGGGAAATTTTTCTTGATATATGCCTCGAGGCCTCTTACACTTGGAGTGGAAAGGATATTTTAAGATCTGTTTTGTTTTAGTGTCTTGTTTGTTTGCATACAATTTCGGTCGGAAAGTGCTCACAATTTTCGGTTAACGGATTCGTGGTAAATGCATAATCCACAATCTCGGCTTTATCTATAATCTCTGTTCATTTCTACCCCCATACAAGGCGTTTCATAATGAATATATTTGTGTGATAATTCAGCTCATGTAAGTCAACTAAACAGCAAGGGTAATAACAGGCTATAACACTGTTGCAGTAATTTCTCGAATGAATAAGAAAACAGTTAGAAAAACTAGCAATGACGATATCACTTCATGTCCTTTCAGTTTCTTGGTAAAATACAGGAACAATTTAGCAACCGAATTAAAGAATTCTGCGTTTTTATTTTTAAAGCGGAAGTCATAGCTAAACACTTCTCATTCTATATATTTTCCGTAACTGGAATGGAAAACTGAAGTACTTCTCGAAACAGTGTTCCTCGTCCGCTCTTGTATGTTATTGTACTTTCCTTTCAAAAGTCTTCCTTAAAAATCACTCTTTTTTAGATAGAAATTTCTAGTATTGTTGGTTAGGTATCATCTGACGAACAATGTTGCCCTCGTCACCCCTTTTCAGCACGTCCAAAAGCCGTGACGGCGGCAAACGTCGTGCGTGCACTGATCCGTGTTTGGCAATAGAAAACCTGCATCTACATACAAACCGTGCCTTTCGATAACTTGATTTACGCTTTGTAGTTAGTTTGGATGGAAAGGATAAAAAGTACAGACGTGCACGGAATATATAAGAGTTTTGTCCTAAACAGATGTTTTTATAGTCAGGAAATTTTACCACGTTTTATCTCTGTCATAAATTATTTTAATAGGCGATCTTGATTAGCAGTCATTGAAACCAAAAGATGCTATACGCTATAGCCTTCTTGGTCAGTTTATATGTTTTGAACCAGTTTCTAGGAAGTCTATTTACCTTGCATGACTTTATATTCCTTACGTGTTTCATGACTAGCCTTTCAAACGGAACATCATGGAGTAGAGTGGGGGGGAATGTTGAATACGTGTATACCAAGGAATTTAGCATATTTTTGCTATAAATTTAAATTTATCGTGTTTTCTGTAGTACATTTACCATGATAGAAAATGATTTCGCCGCAAATTTGTCTTTAAAATTTTGGTTTTGCACAAGGTACTCCTGACCCCTCCCTAAAGGAAGTCTTAAGAAATTCGCTTGTTATGAAATAGCATGACGTCATGGCATTATTCTCCAATCCTGTCGTTTTTACAAAGACTATTATTTATAAGACTGACCAAATCCACCCTCAACTTCCTTTGTAGATATTTGAGGTTTTCGCTCATGGCGATCTTGTGATACCATTTGAAGAACTGTAATCTTCACTGTTATTATTTACTGGAAAGTTTCCTTCGATTGAACATGGCGGACAACGATATTATCGAAGAAATTTGTGTTGACCATGGAAAGCGTTCCCTTGTTGCCAGCGTGTTTCAGCGAATTATGCTCCTCTTCAGTGTGGAAGTCCAATTCAGCTCGCCCGAGGAAAGCGCAGTGAAAAGTGGATTTCAGTGGCTAGCTTTAAAAGGAGAGAAAGACAATGTGGTCAAAGCGAAGGTTAGTAGGAATTACAGCTTGTGTTCGTGTTGATTATGACGCATATCTTCGAGAGCATAAATTCCTTCTTGTGAAATGCAACGAGAAGGTTATAAGGCTTTTTAAAACTTCCGCATTGAAATGAAACGCTTAACGGCGAGTTTACTCTCGGTGTTCCTTATTAAACCATGAATTTTGAAACTGTTAATTTGACTACCTTCGCTGGAAACGATTTTTGTTTCGATGGAATAGCTTACTTCTAAGCCAAAGCGCTCAACAATTGAAATGCGAATCTCTGACACTCAAAGAAACGTAGTTAATTTTCCAGCTGCTTTCCTTCTAGTTTTCTGAATAAATTTATAATGACATTCCTTGAAGGAAAAGCACAAAATATATTTTGAGCGTGTTTTTATCGAGAGTTTCGTTAGTAGAAGCTTACATGGAATCTCTTTTCTTTCTAGGAATACGTCAAGTCGCGTTGTAATCCTGAGCTGGAATTAGAAGTGCCGTTCAGCGAGCGCTTCTACGAAGTTCTGTTGAAATCACTTGATGAACTTGAAAAAACCACAAGTGCTGTGGTAAAGTTTACTTCAAGAAAAAGCTGCCATCTTCAAGGCAGTGCAGAGTCCGTTACAATGGCGCAATCGGCTATTGAAGACAAACTGCGTACACCTCCAACGTCGCATACGTCAAGCGTGCCAGCCATCGAACCTCAGTTGAGGGAATTTGCACGAAAACTGGGCTATTCTAACCAAGTCATAGACCAGGCTGTCCAAAAGCTAGGACCTGATGTAACTCAGAACACACTTTTGAACGAACTTCTGAAAACAACTGCATCGTTACCTTATCAAATTTCCGCCTCTGCTCAACCCAAACCTACTCCAGCGATGGCTCCTTACCCTGTCAGGAGAGACGTAGTGGCCAGAGGAGCGCCAAATACCTCTGGCCATGTTTTAAGGCCTGGCTTTGAGAACCCCAGAGCAACAGTGGCTGGTGCTCAACACACCTGGGAAAGAGATTTGATCGCAAAAATGCCTAGACCAAACCCTGAACTTTATCCAGATGCAATTCCGAGAGGAACAAAAAGAGTTCTTGAACGCCCCTCAGATATTATTGCCAGAGGAGCAGGGCCTTCTGTTCCACCTTTAATGCAGGTCCAACCCTACAATAGCCCTGGACCATCTCCATATGAGAACCACAAAGAAGCAAGCAGCAGTGCTAGCGACAGACTTGACGAACAAGAACAACTGATGTACCAACAAATACTTGGTGCTAAGAAAGTTTCAGCGAATTCGTCTTCAAACTTAAGACCAGTGGTTATTGATGGGAGCAATGTTGCTATGAGGTGAGTAACTTCTGCTGTATTAGGAAGAAAGATTAAGAAAAACTGCATTTGTTCCTTTTATTTTATGATAGGTTTCCTTATATCCATCGATAGATATGTCTTTTTATTTTAAGCAGTTAACAACATTTTGCAAATCTTTGCTATTAGCATAGGTCATGATCAGGTTTCAGGGATTTTTTTAGGCTGAAAAATGTGGCTGAATTGCAAAATTATCGGACTTTGTCAAAGTGGGAAAAAATGTGACATGCTGAAACAAGAGAGTTTTGTTTTGATGAAATGTGATATATGAACAGGAAGTTAATTTGAATATGTGGTGAGCATGAGCAGTTGTTTCAGAGCTTAAACAGGGTCAAACGTGTAATATTATCCTTGTGGTTGAGCAACTTCCTTTGTTGGGCAACATCCCTTTCTCAAGACATTGGTTTCGAACCAACACAGTTTTTCTTCAACTAGTTTTTGGCAGCAACTGCTTCATGCAATTTTTCAACATTAATTTTAGAGTCTGTCATTTCAATATGAATTTTTTATTTCAATAGGAAAAATAATTATGGACAATGAAAAGAAATCAAATGAAGTAGTAGTTGAGTTCCTGTTCCTGTTTGTCTTGTGGCGGGTTTCTTTGTCATCCCACCAATGCAAATATGTTGGAACGTAGCCACTATAAATGGCTAGAACATCCTCTCAGAAGATTATATACCAGTCCAAATTAAAACTGGAACTAAAGTACATAATATTAAAGTAGATTTTTATCTTTTTTCAGTTTTGTTTTAAATCAAATTGAAATATTTTTTTCTTTCTTTTTCTTAGTCATGGAAGACAAGATATCTTTTCTTGTAAAGGCATTCAACTGTGTGTTGAGTGGTTTAGAGCAAAGGGACACAAGGAAATCACGGTTTTTGTGCCATTGTGGCGGAAGGAAGCCTCGCGCCCCGACAAGCCAATCACAGATCAGGAAATTCTCTACAGTCTTGAACGTGATGGTATACTAGTTTTCACTCCATCTAGGAAGGTGAATGGCAGAAGAATTGTTTGTTATGATGATCGCTTTATCATCAAACTTGCAGCAGAGACAGATGGCGTGGTTGTATCAAATGATAACTTTAGGGATTTGACAAATGAAAATCCAAAATGGAGAGAGACAATTGAACAAAGATTACTGATGTACTCTTTTGTTGGGGACAAGTTTATGGTTCCCGATGACCCATTGGGCAAACATGGACCCAATCTTGAAGACTTTCTTCGAAAGGGCTCTGCTACTCACCCTCGAATTTGCCCTTATTTGAAGAAGTGTACATATGGTCTTAAATGCAGATTTTATCATCCTGAGAGAGACCAGGAAGCATTGAATTTAAAACTTGAGAGATTGATTGGCATATTTGGGGAATCTGTGCCAGAAGCTTCCATGAGAAAGGCCATTAATGATAACCCAAGTGCCAATGTTACAATTTTAGCTAATATTTTGTGTGATATGGGAAACAAATACTGAACTGTTATTATTATTATTATTAAATTACATTAGTAGAGTATGTACATAGATATGTATATATATTACTGTAAACGCTAAGCTACTAGCTCATGAAATTTGGACTTCGTCATTGTTGTAGCACCTAATTTTCTTTTGCTAATCATTGACTACAATTTTAAGTCAAACTGAATTTCATCCACATCTACTGTTAAGAATGTGCCTTTTTGTGAAAGGCATACTTAAGTTTTGATTTGGTTTAGGTAGGAGTACTTCTCATTATGCTTAGGGAACAGTTATTGTTAATTTTACTAGCTGTGTAAAAGGATTTTCCTTTGCAGTGATGAGGTTTAAGTGGCAGCGAGTTAAGGCAAAGTTATTGCTTTTTCTGGATTGTCAATATTATTGAAAATGGCCATGTCTGATCAACTTTCCCATCGTGGGATGAGCAAGACATAGTGTTGTACACCCCCTAATGTATATATACCTTTACAAACATTGTTTGCCATGTTGTTTCTCTGCAAGAAAGCACAAGATAGCTTAGCTGAGAGTAACTGCAGAAGAGGTAGATTTTTACAGTTATTGAGTAACAACGTGGTTTTCAATGTTGTAATGTAGGTGTAACTTGAGGTTACTCTCTATGAGAGCAAAAAGTGTGATCGCCATGCGGTTGAAAAAAAAAAACGTGAGAAATAATGAAATTGTTGTCAAATTCTACAGTTGTTAAGAGTATATTTGAAAATAGAAATTTTGCTTACACGTGTAATGGGTTAAGAATTTGACATGAGTTTCCTGGTATAAAAAAGGCTCACAAAAGATAATGTCTGCTTGAAATGAAACAGTTCAAGATTGCAGCCCCCTTGATGTAGGTACTTTTTTTAGTTTAGTCCTACTTACAAAAAAAGACAAAAAAGGCTTAACATTTAGTTCATGTTCTGGCATTATATTTCTTCTTTGTTATTGTTTCCATTTATAATTTAGCTATACGTTTATTACCAGCTGTTAAGCTTCAAATCCACTATGTTATTGCCAGCCCTCATTTTTTTTTTTTTAAGCAAATTATATTGTAACTATAATATGTCAAGAAAAAAAAAAAAGAAAAGAAAAATAAAAAAGTAAGAGTTCACGGGAATGTTTGTTGTTGATCGTTGAGTGTATTGGAAAGTCAGTTATCATTCATGATCAGTTAATACTTTGGTTCTGTTGCGAAAATTAAGTTGGTTCTGTAAATAATGACTGCATTTGTTAACCCCAGTGATGAGCTTTGCAGCTGTATATTTTCATGTCCTTTTTTTTTTTTTTCATTTCTGTTAAGGGAACTATTCAATGATGAGAGACATGTAATACTGGTTAGAAGGAGAGAAATTGTTAGCCAAGACTAAGGCCCCACTCCTCCTGATTGGGCCGATCATGTTCAGAAATGTTGAAGATTCTTAATGGTTTTGAAATAACAATTTTGACCAAAGATTTCAAGGTTACAATCTAGCAACAAGTTTCTACAAGTTCCCTTTTGCCTCCTAAGATCTAGATCTCAATTCCCTGTACTATCTCCTGTGCATATTTCAATATACTATAAGGCGTGAGGATTTGGTGTTCAATCAAACAGTATGCCTTAGTTGTATCACTTTTCTCTCATGTTATCTCCCTCTTGTCTAAGAATGTGTTATATTTTGTCACGAGAAATTCCTTAATATTCACTGCTGGGAGTGGACTGTGTTTTCAGGTGTCAGAATTCTTAGTGATTTGAGTCACAGATTCCAGCACCCATTTTCTCACGGCCATTATTTCCCGAGTATCAAGTTGATTGAACGTTGTCCCTTCAGGCATATTGTGTTTGCATTCAAAACTACTTAAAATGACATCGTACGACGATCTAAGAAAGAAGTGCAGCGAGCAGCTGAATTTCGAGCCATTTCAAACGCTCATCCGATTGGCAAAATCAGCTGAGTTAGAAATTACTGATGCGAAATTCGCGCACATGATGGACGATAGTGATGAGTTGAAGAATCTTCGAGAAGAATTTTTCTATCCAAAGATAAGGGATCTTCCTAAAGGTAAGGTGAATTTGTCATCAAGACACCACTTTAAGATTTAAGAATTTAAAATCTAAAATTTCAAGGGAAAGAATTCCATATAATCCCATACTATTCTAAAACAAAACTGTCGTCTCAAGAATAATCTTTTGTTTTGCCATCGTTTTCATTGAACAGAGACTGAATGCTTAATAAATGTTTGGGGTTCTACGGAAATCTTGCCATTTCAAGGGATACATTTGGCAGTTTTTTAGTTTAAACATGCGTATTAAACACAGAATCACTTATCAAACCACTCCTCGTCGTTTTGTGGACAGAATCGAAGACATTCCGATACAACATGGAGCACGTGGAAATATGTTTTGCCATACGGCTAGTTTACAGATGTCCCAATGCATGTCCGAATGACAATCAATTCCGCGCTTTGTGGACAATTTTAAGCGATCAAGGCGATCACATAGTTACACGTTAGACGGGCACGGATGGGCGTCCTGGAGGTTTACCCGATCACATAACGCAGAAGTTGAATGGTTTCACAAAGTATCTTTGTGGCATGATGTCTGGGATATTTTGCTACATGAGCAGAAAAATTGAAATTTCTTAATAAAATCATTTGACCATTCTTCATGCTGCAGTTAACCCCTGCTAAAATAAAGTACTTATTGACTAGCCCTGAGGGAAAGGGTGAGTTTTATTTCTGGGCAATCCAAATATTTCCCAAGGCTAAGTCCCTGGGAATATTAGGGGTTAAGGGGAAATAAAGCTCACTGTTTCCTGTAGGACTAGACTTAAAGTGCCTTTTTATACCTCTCATCTCAAAAATAGAACAGACTGGGTATCAGTCATACTTGGGCAAAGTTTTCTGTGTTCCTGGCTAAATACAACACAGGAAACTGAAAAAGGCAGCAAAGAAAGCAAAAACTCCTGTTAAACTGCAAGGGTCAGACTGGGTAGGGGGCAAATTTTAATGAACACACCAAACAACTGATATAAACCAGATATATACATTTATTCAATTTGTGTTAAAAAAAGGATTGAACAAACTGAAAAAATCTGTTTTGTTAAGAAAACGATGACAACTCTCTCTGTCAGTAACACTTCTTTTTATTCAGTTAAAGTGCCCCTGAGACAAAAATTGACCATTTTATTTTGGGCTAATTTGTTTACAGAATGAATAAAGGCTGATAGTTTCGAAAGAAACTGTTTGGGGCTGCGTCAGTGGGAGTAACGAAATAATTTGGATATATCAACAAAGTTGAAATGGTAAATTGGCCACCGTAATGATTACAAAAGCTGACGTTTCGAGCGTTAGCCCTTCGTCGGAGCGAATAGAGGAATTGTGGGTTGTGTGTGCTTTTAAAGGCAGAAAATGGAGCTACGGTGGCCAATTTACCATTTCAACTTTGTTGATATATCCAAGTTATAAAATTATAGCTCGAGTTTCGGGAACATGATTAAAAAAAATATCATGACTCAAGGAAAACGTATACACAAGACCTGGTTGTGCTGTGATGCTAACTAACATTCTTGTTGTAAGAAAACCAACATACCTTATCCTGAAGGGGAGAAACACAAGATTCCCCTCCCGCTGTAAAATTGCAGTAAACCTTAATGGCATCAGCAGGGCATCCAAGGTTGGGATCAATCCAGAAATTACCTGTACCAGATATGGTTAACACTTTTACAATCGAACCTGTACTAGGTTGTCACCATCACAGGCAGAACGAGTGAGTGACCATCTAATGAAAGTTCCACAACATAGAGATCGAACTTAATAAAAACTCCTTGCTATGTGCCAACATTTATAACTGAAAGGAAGTGTGCTAAGCCTGACAAGGCGGTAGTCATGGCCTTGAAGTGCCTTGTCAGTATCTTTATCAAGAGGGTTACTTCACTAATTACAAATAAGCTAGAAATTAAAAAAAGAATATCATCTGCAATGTGGTGATGACGTTTTGACTAAAAATATTGGTTGGTTAAAAAAAAAGTACTTTAGAGAGGGATTCATGATTTCACTTCAATGTTTCTTGTTTGGTGACCGTTTAAAAGGGATTTAAACAATATCAACAAGCCTACAGGACGCAGTCAAAGGCGATCATGACCGTTTGTTNAATCATTCTAAGCAACATATGGCAATCTGCGGTCTTTCCTTGCACTTAGGTGGCACGGAAAGCCGTAAAAATCTTGAACAAAAGCTCATCTTTCAAACCGGCAGTCTAAATCCCACAGGGATCAATGAACGCTTTTCATTCCACTAATTTATTCATGTTTTTCTCGTTGCCATGCACCCACCAATAACGTAGCTCCATTTTCTGCCTTTAAAAGCACACACAACCCACAATTCCTCTATTCGCTCCGACGAAGGGCTAACGCTCGAAACGTCAGCTTTTGTAATCATTACGGTGGCCAATTTACCATTTCAACTTTGTTGATATATCCAAATTATTTTGTTTACAGAATGTTGAATTGGGTCAAGTTAAAACCCTTTTCGCTATTAAAAACTCAAAACAAACCTTCGATGACCAATTTTTACTGCTTCAAAGTTGTCCAAAAATCGTCCGCCATTGCTGAAAACATGTTCCAGCCGAGCCTGCAATTGTACAGCAGAAAATGTCATCATGAGGTCAAAAGCTCAACAAACTTAAATGCTTTGCTTTGTCACAACTCTCTTTGTTCGCTGCACAGAGAATCACACATACTACTTTTTTGAGAACTGTTTCGTTGTCAGTCGTGAAATGTCGACTTTCTCTGATGATGAATTGTCCCAGAAATCATCTGAAGCTTCCGTGGATAGTTTTCAGCCAACAAGTGATGAATTTTTGCCATGCGAATAAAGATAAACACAGAATGGCATGGACTCGCCATGTGGCGTTTGTGGTCGCATCGCTTTATCGCCTTCAATTTGTATTTTTGCTTGTCGTAAGGGTTTTAAAAATTGTTTTTGGCAATGGCTGATTGTGTATTTAGGCAGATATTGGGAGTTTGTGAAAGCCATTTCCAAGCCATCAATGTGTTTGCCCTGATGCATTTGGTCAATAATCTCATTAACCCTTCCCTATGTGTTTTTTACTATCGGTGCTTTGAGAGGTTTGAAGTGAACTCCGTTGTTGAGTTGCACTTTAGCCTCTTTTGTTTTTTCTGTCTTATTCATGATGACTGTTGTTGTGTTGCTTCGTTGAGGTTTAAAGCAGAGTTTGTTTTAACTCTTTTAGAGCCGTGACCTCATTGCAATTATTTACAAAGTATTTTTTGGCTTAGATACTATCTCCAAGTTGTGTTATGACAAATTTCTGAGTAGCTCTGAAGGGCAATAGAAGACTGAACCGGTGGCATTCAGTTTGATATGAAATGGAAACGCTTCTTTGTTTTGTCCGTGAAAGGTGTAACGGAGGCGCATTCGTCTTGTGAATAAACCTCGCAAAGTTGGCCTGATTTAATTTACATTGGGATGAATTTGAGACCCTTTGATAGCACGCTGCCTTGGCTGTCAGATCGTTGATAGTTTGAGAGGTTCTTAAAGAAATTTTCATTTCCTCAGTTTCTTGGCTGCACGCCTACATTTTAAAATATTTCTATGCTCTATGTGTGTCTTAAGCTGTTTGTTCTACTTTCGCTGATATTAAAGCCAGCTTTTTTTAGAGTTAGAGCACACAATTATATTTTTCATCTCTTTTGTATAAAAGTGAGTTCTTTGAGGTCAGAGATCCCATTCCTCAATTCGGTTATTTTATCATTCTTATTTACAATGTTCACGGAGTACTTTCCTTTGTGTAACGTATTCTGCCAGGGAGTTGTTAAAGGTGGATATTGATAGGCTCACAGTTATATAAAGGTGACAAAACCCATGGAGGTTCGTAGGCTTCCCTTTCGTCGAGATTGCACTGAGGACAGTTTTTCTTGCCCCTTTTTTTGAATGGTAGGCAATGAAACTGGCAGAATTCTTCGCCTAGATCTTTCAAAGTACCAAGATCTCTCGAAACAGTCCTCCGAAAAGTGTTCGGAGCAGATCAAAAATATTCCTGCAGGATTGAAGTGTACTCAGCAATTTCGAACAAATCGCATATGTTTTTCCTGCTCTGACCTATTTGCAAGGCTCCGATGCAGAGAAATACCTGCAGCATATTCTGCACAATTAGATTCAGCTTTGAATTACACATCGATGCCTTGTCATTTTTGTTTAGTTTTTGTAAGAATAGAGTAAAGGACTCTGTTATGTTTTCTTGACATTTTACCATGTGAGATTTTCATATTGAGCCTTTAATTGGCCTTTTTTTCCTCTGAGTCCTGCGATCAACTTCCGGAACATGGTCAAATAATGGCGGACGCAAAATCGTGAACTTAATGGCCCGAAAAAAGATCTTTCTGGTGCTCGGTCTAGACTGAAATTTGGCAGAGTATGTGAAGGAGACACACTGTCAACATGAAAATGAAAAAAAATGATATACGAAAATTTTGATCTCAGGGGCACTTTAACTAAGCGGCAGTTTCTTCGTCTTTCATATGATATAATTATGGAAGATGGGCTAATGATCCAAGAGTTAGTACTACATATAAATAACTTATATTAATCAAATAATCTATAAGTTTGTTTACCAGTAAACACCTACTTATACACCTGCTAATTGTATATTAGCTTATGTGTAAATATAACCATTTACTTCCTTGTGAATTGAAAACTTTAATTTCAGGCCTGCAGGGTTTTCCCTTATAAAAATGCTACTTGTTTATAAAACTAATTGATTAGATAAAATTTCAACAGGAAATATAAAGGTCAATAAGATTTCAACTAATGGTGCATTCCATATAATTATTTAGAGAGAAATTCAAAGTTAATGATCTCACTGAAGTCTGGTCCTTTAACTTTGGTTGTTGGCAAATGATAGCTTATCAGTAACTTCAAGCTTTTAATTTGGCTTATTTCAGAAATTGTCAGAATATTTTTTAGAGAGGGTGGGGAAGGGGAATCTCTCATGTAATAGACAAAATTTGGCAAAGATGCCCATACAAGGACTAATCAGTGACAGCTATTTTTGGTGACTCAAATTATTGTCTAATAGAATTAGAACATCATTATCACCTTATCAGGCATCATGCCAATTTTTGTGGGCTAAAATAAAGAGATTTTAGCATGCTTGTACTTGTTTAGACTTTAATGTTATCACTTATTCACTTTTTATTTTCTCAGTGCCCTCCAAACTGATATTGATTGTAAAAACATAATTTTTTAAGCCTAAAGATTGAGATTCATGAGTCATTTTAACCCTAGTGATTCAGGCCAAGACTACTCTGTGTCAGGCCCAAAACATAATTATTAATGCCACAAACACAAACTCTATTGTTTTATTAATTATACTTTGTCTGTACAGTTGATCCGGCATTAGTGGATATGGAGATGGACAGCATGTACTTCTGTGGAAATTCTCTTGGACTCCAACCCAAAGAATCACGTACATTGGTTATACAGGAGCTGGACAAGTGGGAAAAAATGTAAATATTTTTCTCTGTCTCAATTGAATTGTTATTTGTTACACTGTCTGCCTTGATTGAAGGGATCATTGGTATAATGTTAGCAGAGATGCCATTTCAAATCTGGAGATTTTTTTTTTGGACCAGCTTCCCCCTGGCCTAATTTACCAATGTGACCCCCCTGAAAATTTCTTTTTTGATTTGGACCTCCTACTGGCCCCTCCATCACCATCACCTTGAAATATGCACAGTGCACATAAACCATTATGTGGACCTTTGAGTATCAGTGAGGGCACCAAGCAATTTCACAGAAAAAATGTGGATCTCTCTGTGATGGACTTCATTTGGTTAAATATTCATCCAATCAGATTCTCACTTATAAAGGAGTAACAAAGAAGAAACTTTCTTGTTTTTGATAGCCATGAACAGTGTGAAAGAAAATGAAACCAGAAACCATAATACAAGTACAAGAAGCCAGATGATTTAGTATTTTGAAACATATGCACTTAAATCGTAGTTTTTTGTGGGCAACTGATCCAAACTTCCTTTTATCCAGGAGTTTTGATCACCTGTACGGGAGAGTGGTAGATTGGCTCTGTATCCTGGAGACTCCCAGATAATCCGGGAAAGTTGGCATGTATGTGTTTAAGTTATTGCCATACATCTATACCTAAATGAAAACAGGGACTTATCCAGAGCTGCTTTAGTCAAAGTTGAGAAGTGTAATGAACTGAAGGGAGGATTAAGTGTGAAATAATACGGCATGTCACTTTTTTCAAGTTGCCTTCATCCTCATCCTGTTTTCAGGGGAGTTCATGGTCATTTTTGTGGTGATCTTCCTTGGTGGAAAATAGAAGACTTCGTACTCTCAGAAAGTGCTAGAATAGTAGGTAAGGTTCGTTTTACAACTGATGGAAAGGGAAGGCTTTGCTATCAAATTCAATGTAATTAATGCAGGTAATAAACAACATGAATCTTATAAATAACAATTATAGAAGTAATGCAATATGTCTATAGGTCTGTTGCTGCTCCTTGTACATAAATTATAAAATTGTCAATACTTAATCTTATCTCATTTTGTTGCTGGTTTTTTTTTTTTTTTTTTTTTTTGTTGCTGGTTTTTTTTTTTTTTTCATTATATAGTCATGGAATCTTCTCTACAAAGAAGAAAAAAAAGGATAGTTACATTATAGAAGCCATCATCTCAAATCTATGTAGTAATTAATAAGAAAATAGCGAGACTGTTTATGGAAATCAAGAGGCCACAAACGATATCTGAAAATTGGAGATATCTAATCCCAATGGTGGGTTTGGAATCTCTATCTCCAGTGTAGTGTTTCTTAGGTGAAACTTTATTTTCCAGGTGCTAAGGATATAGAAGTTGCCATCATGAACTCTCTCACAGTAAATTTGCACCTTCTCTTGGTGCCATTCTACAGACCAACACCTCAGAGACACAAAATTCTAATAGAAGCAAAGGCATTCCCCTCAGATCATGTAGGTTTTACATGAATGTGCTGTGAGTATGTGACAGTATTTCTGTGTAGTACTGCGAGTGTCTGTGAGCCAGTATGTTTGGTAAAGGGTTAAGGAGGCAGGAAGGAAGGTCAGGAGGGAACGTCAGGAGGGAGGTTGGTTCATAGATGGGAAGAAGGTCAGAAAGGAGAATGGAAAAGCGGAAGGAAAAAGGCATGGAGAAAGACAGGGTCAGATATGAAAGCGACAGAGAGAGAGGAAGTTTACCTGCAGGAAGAAAGGTAAGGTACGAAGGGAGGGAAGATGGCAGGAAGAAAGCTAAGGTAGATCAGGAAGTGAGGAAAGGAGGCAGGAAGGGAAAAAGGAAAGAAGGGAAGGAGGGAGATGTTGAGGTCAAGGAGAGAGAGGGACGTTTTTAGGAAGAAAGGCCAAGGCAGAAAGGGAGGAAAGAAGGGAGGAACCAAGCAAGCAAGCAAAGGAGGAAGGGAGGAAATAGTTGAGATCAGGAAGAGAGGATGGTCACCAGGAAGAAAGATCATGAACAGGAGGATACAAGGGAGGAATTAAGGTAAGAAACAAGGGAAGAAGGAAGGAAGGAAGGAAAGAAGGAAAAAGGAGAGCAAGAGAGGGAGGTACATGTAGTTTGGAAAAAGAGTCAGGAACAGAATGAATGAGGATAGAAGGAAGGAAGTAAGGTCAGGAAGGATGAAAGGAAGGGTAAGGGGAAGAAAGGAAGGATAAGAGAAAGAGAGGGAGATACCAAGGTCTAGAAGACAGGGAAATAGCTATGAACTCAAGAAAATCAGGAATACAAGAAGGGGCAGGTATGATTGGCAGGAAGATAGAGAGGTAGGCCAGGAAGATTAGCAAGAGATTAAGGGAGCTATGAAACATTGTAACTCACAATATTTATTTGCAGTATGCAGTGCAGTCACAGATAAGTTTCCATGGATACAATCCAGCAGAAGCCCTCATTGAAGCTACACCGAGAGAGGTAATGAATGAAGCGATGTAATTGTAGTTCCTGATGTAATAATTATAATTAGGCGTATATAAACGATCCTTCGCAGTAAAGCACTATTTGAGCAATAGTGGAAATCAGACCACTATTGCTCAAATAGTGCTTTACTGCGAAGGATCGTTTATATACGTCTCATAACCGCAGTTCACTCATATGTTTCATATGTTTGTTGTTGTTCAATTATAATTAGAAAAGAGATGTAAATCAGGCAAACAATAACGTGTCTTTAGTTTGGGACCAGTCTTAAAAAAAAAAGTAAATGAACAGTTGAAAGGAATATAGAAATTAGTATTCCTGACTTGTTATACATATATATTTTTGGCATAAATTTATCCTTGGTGTTTGCGTGTATATTTCAACTCAGATTTTGTTATAAGTGTACTTAACGGTGGTATGTGACATGGATCAAATTGATGCAGATATATTGGTGTTGTCACCAGGATTCTGATTATCTGAATAGTGATAAAATATTAATTTGAAGCTGTTTACTAACATCATTAATTTTCCTGAGAGCTATTAACTGAGATTCTGGACAACTTAAGTTTGATTCAAATATTAATAAAATGCTACCTAGGGTGAGGAACTACTCAGAACAGATGATATTGTGTCCTTAATTGAGAAACATGGAGATTCAATAGCACTTGTTATGTTTAGTGGTAAGTATAATTATTTATTTAATTTAGTATGCATGATGCCCGTTATTTCATAATGAGCTAAATTGAGGAAAAGCAACTGCAGGCTACTGTTCATGCAATCACCAATTACAGACATCTCTAGAGGTACCCTGTGTAAATTATCATAAAATTTCTTAATTTTTTTTCTTTAAAGTGAGTGAGGCATATAATGCCAACTTGGTTTTCAGGTGTTCAATATTACTCTGGACAATTTTTTGACATAAAAAGAATTACTGCATCTGCACAGAAAAAGGTGAGACTGATAAGATTTGTTGCGTTACTTTTACACATAATTGTGCATAACCATGCTAATGTTTTAGTAGGTCATCAACTGGGAACAATAAAATTTTGCAAAGAATTCTAATGCTGCTCTGTTTTATTATCATAAAAACCTCAGATAAGTAACTCTTTTCCTGAAGTCATAATCTTACTGATACATGATGTATTATACATACGTGTCTGTATATAATTATATGCACAATGCTTGGTGAGAAAAGGAAATCAACCTGATATTACATGTATTTGGATATTAGACAATCACTTGATTCCAGATGCAGTCTGGGATAAATTTTCATGTTAAGTAAATTTTTCAAATGGTCTAAGGAAGCATATGATAATTATATGCATAATTAATATTGATTATTAGCTACACTTTCCTTTTTAAATGATTTATTTTAATCTAAAATTTTTATTAATATGATAATTGTACTTTTCTCATTATCAACAGGGTTGTGTGGTAGGTTGGGATCTAGCACATGCTGTTGGAAATGTGGAATTGCACCTTCATGACTGGAATGTTGACTTTGCCTGTTGGTGTTCTTACAAGGTGAGCGACATGTATTTGTAACCTTTTTGCCAATCCATTATATGAATAACCAGGTGACCTGCATGTATATTCATGCTCATTGGCCAGCTGACATGCAGTTTTTTTGTGATGTGTGCATTTTATAGTCATGTAGTGCAATAAAAGAAAAAATAATAATTAAAGATCTCATTGTAAAACTTTAGTTTGATTACTCTATTTTTCTGTTAAAAAGTATCTCAACTCAGGACCTGGAGGGATTGCAGGAGCATTTGTCCATGAAAAGCACGCTTATAACTTTGACCTTCCCAAGTAAGTTTTAGAAAGAAGCATGTGATGAACCAGTATAACAGCATGTTACATGACTGTATTGAATTATTTTAAAGATCACTCACACTTGGAGAAGTATTGTGTATTTTGCAACCAAAAAAAGTTTTCCTTAATTGTTCACTCATGAATACAGTTTGAGAGTCAAGCTGTAACATTTTGGATTGCTGAACTTTCAGAAGGCTCAGTTAGTAAAAAATGTTGGCTGTGGCAAGACAAAAAAAGATAATAGAAAATAATCAAACTATTTTTGAACGTGTATCTCCAACCCTGTCCATGGGTAAGAAATAAAGCTTCTATATATAGAACTAGGAGTGTAGGCCAGTGCCATTAGATTGTTGAGGAATAATGATGAGGAATTAATGATAATGGTTACATTAATCATACTTGTATGGTTTTAATTTGTGATGAAGATTTCTGTAGTGCCATAATTCCAAGAATTCACTGACACATAGCAGTAAATGGTTGTATCATTCTTTTAAGGACAAGAAG